CGCATAGTTGCCAGGATTTTGGGAATTTTGGGGATTTTTGATCCCTGCCAGTGTTTTCGCATTTCAGGCTTTACAAATTTTGGGGATTTTCGAGCCTGGCGGCATTTCGTCAACGTCGGATGCTAAAACACTGCCAGGCTCGAAAATCCCCAAAATTCCTGAAGCCTGAAGTGCGAAAACACTGGCAGGGATCAAAAATCCCCAAAATCCCCAAAATGTGAGAGACTATGGCCCCGCACTCCGCATAGTTGCCAGGATTTTGGGAATTTTGGGGATTTTTGATCCCTGCCAGTGTTTTCGCATTTCAGGCTTTACAATTTTTGGGGATTTTCGAGCCTGGCGGCATTTCGTCAACGTCGGATGCTAAAACATTGCCAGGCTCGAAAATCCCCAAAGTTTTGCAAAACTAAACACCCATGGCCCCATAGATGCCACGATTTTGGGAATTTTGGGGATTTTTGATCCCTGCCGATGTTTTCGAATTTCAGGCTTTACAAATTTTGGGGATTTTCGAGCCAGGCGGCATTTGCTAACCTTGGATGCTGTGTTCCTATTATGTCTTTGTTTGTCACGTGTATACACACGGCATATGCTTTGTTTTAATGCCATGTCAAGGTGCGGTATGTTCCACGACATATCCGTTGCAGTTCTCTCCCGAGTGAAAGTCATCGTTTGTGTCCCTCTTTTCCTCTTTTCCAGCATGATCCGCGACGGGGGTGACATATCCTTGCAAGATGCTCTCGATGCCACCAATTCTTTGAGATATTGTATCAAAGCACACCACACCCGACGACAATCTGTAAAGTAAAACATTTGCAGTAGATATACAACATATACTTTGACATGCCATGTACTGAGGACGCATGCACCAGACGCGCGGCACATGAGTTACGTGATAGTTTTGTGGAAGTATCGATATTAGGATGAGTACTGTTCTTAATAATATTAGTACTAGTGTTTGCTGTGATAGTATACATGTCAGTATTAGTAAACATAAATTAGTGTCAGTGCTCATGCTCGTTTTAGAGTTAGCGCTAGTGCCAGTGTCAATGTCAGTAATACAGCACCACTGCTAGTATCAGTGTCAGTCTTAATGTTGGGTTTAACCGCAGCTTATATTCGCAGAAGTGCTAGTATTAGTATCAATACTAGAACTAGTTTTGATATGTTAGAATATTGATAGTTTCGTACAGTAGCAGACTAGTATATCAATATATTATTAATGCATTCGAACAGTAACATATTTGTATACTTGTATACTTGTATATTTGATATGTTAGCACAACTGGTGCACGGGTACACTAGTATATTGGTGTATTAGTTTACTAGTATGTGTGCTATATTCATGTATTGTCTAGTCATATTTACAAGTATATCAGTATGTTGGCATATTAGCCTACTAATTTGTCATGTCGGTATACTTGCATGTTGCAGTAGTCGTATATTAGTATACTCGCATATTAGTATAGTATATTCATACATTAACGGGAAGTATACTATTACATTGGTATATGGGTATATGTTTATGCCAAAACATTAGTACATGAATGCACTAGTGTATATATCTGTATCTTAAGATAGTGGTATGTATTTTTATGTACATTAGTATATGCAGGTGTCTATTAGTAAACAGATTAGCATTCATATCAATACGAATATACTATTGGTATTCGTAGGAGTTTTAATGTTGATATTAGAATTAAGACTATTCATAGTCGTATTAGCCATAATATAAGTGTTCATGCTGGGAATAGTACTGGCATTCATGAATATTCAACAGATTATCAATATCCGTATCAGTGTTGGTGATAGCATTATTTTTAACACCACAAGAGTTTATGTAGTCGTACTCGTAGGAGTATCAATACTATTGCAAATAGTGGTGTTAGTATAAATATTGTGATAAGTATTAGTAGTAGTATTAGCGTTAGTACTATAATATTATGAACACACTTGAAGTATGTGTCACGCTTTCCAGGCAATCAGGCAACAAGTTTGAGTATTGGCATCGGCACCAAAACATGGCGACAGTGACAGGCAACATGTTGAAGTTTTTGCACAACCACCGGTGATGCCTTCTGAAACATGGAGTGCGAGGTTTTGGATGGAAGAGCGGAGCCCGAAAGTGAAATCAGAATCCGTTTCGGGTTTCGTGGGGATATAACATGTGAGAACAAATTACAACATGTAGAGCTAAGTAGATGCTAGGTGCAGAAAATACCGCAAATACCAATGATTTTGTATGTAGGTGAAGTCATGTAGAAATCGAAGCATGAGCAGCAGGAGGTAGAAAAAAACATGGTATGGATCATGGGGGGGGGCGTGACCAAATAAAACTAAATATAGATATCAATAATATAAGTATACAGATACATATATACATAACAATCATCCATGGCCTCCAGGGCCTTGCGCGGGAGCTCGCTCTGGACTACACACGATAGGGTTTAGGGGTTTAAGGTCTTAGGGTTTGGGGTTTAGGGGTTTAGGGTTATTTGAGGGGCCTGAACCATTAGATTAGACTGCGGTGTTGGTAATCTTTAAGCTTGAAATACACTGGGCAGAGGAAGTCTTACTACTAGTTGCTAACCTTCCCGGCGTCTGTAGATAGAGCCCCTGATGTGCAGGGCTTGCTTGTCGGGGACCTGCCTGAGTTGTGGTTTAGGACTTTACCCTCAGTTCGTACTAAGATGACTCACCCCTACATCACGTGCCCTACAGTCTAAACCGCTAAACCCCACCCCCGAAAGTATAGTTACATCCTAATTACACCCAAAACCCATGCTTGGCGGATTTTGTCAACAGCTTGGCAACCTTGCTCAACGAAGAACTGCATCGCAAAGGCTGAAGCTGAAGATCGTGAAACGCGTTTCGGAGTCTACCTAGGATACCCAGTAGATCCCTTATACTACCCCTTAAAGGAACCCTTTATAGATCCCTTTAAAGGAATGCTAGGAACCCTTATAGATATTCTAGGATACCCAGTAACCTAAGAATAAAAAGGCCTCTCTTTTTGGTCTTGGGTAACTTTATAAGGAACCTAGGACTACAAAAAGGGAATAAGGGTACCACTGGGCATCCTAGCTACTTTCTCGGACTTCCCAGAGAGCTTCAACTCAGTCGTCCTTAGACCACGGCAAGAAGCTCCATGTAGTCTCAGGAAGATACCTTACTACAGACAGTAACAGTGCAAACAGAACGAACACTCGTAATCACAATGGTCAAGAAAGCAGAAATGGTAGTAACAATAGTAGCACTAGTAGTAACAGTGGCAATAGTAGTAATCATGGTAATAGTAGTGCTAGTAGTAAGAATCGTTAACGAAATTAGACAAAAAATTAAACAAATACATCATTAATAACAATACTCTCAATAAAAACGAACTACTTTTATCATTAAAATCTGTATTATGATAACAGTAGTGGTACTAGTAAAAGGTACGGGGAGATCTCTGGGTTTCCACGTCCTTTGGGAGCCTCGGCATCCGTTGCGGAGAGAGGCGTGCGGCAGGTCTGATGGGAGGCCCAAAGGGGGGTTTTAAGATTCTTGGGGTAGGGATTCCTTAATATGAACCCATGAACCCTATTATGGGAACCCTAATCCCTACTGGACCCCCATAAGCTAAAACCCCTTTCGGCCTCCTATGAAAGTCTTTTCGCAGCGGTCTGGGCAGAGGAGCTATGGAGCCAGGGCTCGGGAAAGTGAAGGACTTCTAGGGGTTGCAGGGCGTTAGGGGTTCAAGGGCTTAGGGCCAGGGTTGGAGGTTTAGGGTTTAGGGGTGTAGGAGTTTAAGGGCTTAGGGCTTAGGGCCTTTAGGGTTCTAGGAGGGCTGCGGGGGTCTTGGGAGGTCTGTAGGGGTATGGGTTTTATCGGGTTGTGGGGTGTTGGGCTTGGGTTTAAGTTGTAGGATCATACGGTTTTCGAGCTTTAGGGTTCAGGGTCATAGTTTGTTAGGGCTTAAATGTTTAGGGCTTGTAGGTTTGGCCCAGGTCACGAGAACATGCGCGCAAGTTGAAGGGGTGCGGGAGGCAGCTAGATGGGCTGAATGCAGTTGTCTGAGTCTCGACCTCATGCTCGCGTTAACGTAATGACCGTAGCAAATGCAATAACAATAACGAGAGTAGCACCATCAATCAGGCTGCAATGGTAGTCGCAGAAGCAGCAATACCTGCAAGCCCTTAGCACGAATGGCAATAACAGCAACTAGGAACCTATGGTCGTTGCAGTGGATAGTGGTGACAAACATGACAGTCGCAGTCGCATTCGCTGCTGGAATGCTAATTAGAGGTGACAGGGCTGATCGTAGTAAGACGGAAAAGAACAAGCGAGCACTAACAACTGGCAAGATCCCTTTCCTCACAGCAACAACACCGACAGTGATACAGCAAGGGGTCTGGCAAATGCTGAATATGATGCCGCACCCGAAAGTAGCTTCACATCGCCATTGCTGCTCTTGTCACAGGAGTCTGGAAGGTCAAAGGACGTAGTAGGTAGGGTAGTCACCATTGCTGTGTTGCTATATTCTTCATAACCACACTTATCTTACTTACTTATCACCCTGCTTACTAAGTCTCCTGATCTTTTAGGTAGAGCCCGATGCTTCTGCGGGCTTCCCTGGCTCGAGAAAATCCTTCTGCCACTTGGAGAGACATTTGTGCTTCCTTGGCACTGGCTCGTACTGGTGATGGACTCAAAATTCCGCATGCTCCGTGTTGGGGTTTAGGACGGTTCCCAAAGTCCATACCGTAATTGCCAAAGTCTGCACCATAAGTCCCGTAGCCTAGGGTACTTAAGGTTATGCGTACCTGAGGTCATGCAGGATTTTGTCCATCAGCAGTATGCGCAAGCGATGGACGCTCTCCTTCAGGTCGCGAATCGCCGGCCCGAAGTCAACGTTCCATCGCCAGCACATCGCGCCGGCTTCGCTGAAGGACCAACAGCAGTTCGACGTACCACTATCCAAACTTTGTTTCTGTAGTTGTGAGTTCTTGAGTATAGCCCTAGCTACACCATCCCTGAAGGAAACGGGAAAGTTCCCGCTTCTGCGGCTCGTGCCCTCGAAGCACGACAGCCTGGCAGCAAGGACGCTCATTGCGCCATGCTTGCACTTGCACCCCCACAGGAGGACGATGGGGAGTAGGAGGAGGAGGAGGAGGAAGAGGAGGAGGAGGAGGATCGTTACGATGTAGGATGACGGTGATCATGATGGTGATGCTTTGTTGAGTCCTACCCACATCGCTCCCGCTGCTGTTGATATCACAAAGAGAAGCATGAATATGAACCGCATGGTTCCTCAGTGTTCCTCATGATACCTGTACGTGCAATACTATATGCCCAAAACCCCAATAGTGCAGCCCGCTGTTCTTCAGAATGGCTCAGGCTTCATGGAAGGAGGCTTTTCAGGCATTGGAGCTTGGGGTTAGGATTTACGGTTCCTATCGCAGTCTAGGCTTAACCGACATCCCACACCACCGAACCGTAGCGTCTCGCACCCTTAACCCTAAGCCAAGCCCTTAGAGCAGTGAAGCGAGACCCAGCCCTTACCTTGAGTCTCAACACACAGACTGCAACGCTAAAGCAGACACCCTAAAGCTTATGCAGGACACAATGCCCTTTCGCTTGCCCTGTGGCAGTCCTCAGGCTTTTTCGAACCCTAGCCTAGGCCCTTGCGGACCTTGGAACAATCGGAAAAGAAGTCGATGACTCCTGTCGCGGAGAGTTGTGCAGGACTCTACATGGGTTGTCAACGGCTGTTCAAGGGATCTAAAAGGTCCCACAACCGTCCATGGTTATCGTCGGGGTCGGGGATTTGGCTTAGGTCTCACAATAAGGATTCTCCTGGCTGCGTCCTGGGGCACTGGGACAGTAAGCAAATCGGAGCTTTTAAACCAGGCTGAGTGCGTAGAGCATCGAGTCGATACCTCTGCGCTGTTTGCCGTTAGACTCTGCAACGGGTTAGACATCGGGCGCAGGGTTGTGGACCCATGAAAAGTTTCCGGCACCGGCTCGCAGTGAGGCAAGAAGACGAGTTGCCCAGAGGTTTACAGAAGCACTTAAAAAGGATTCAACTTGCAGACAGAACCCTTCTGAAGCCCTTACAAGATCCTAAACCACCAAAACCTAAATGCAAAACCCTAAATTTGAAACCTTAAACCCTACCCTAAGCCCAAAACCAAAACTGCAAAAGCCCCAAACAGAAGCCCCCATCCCGGTCCTTTCCCCTTGCCGAACCTCACCTGGATCCCTCCCTGGATCTTGTACCTGGGCTATATCACCGTGGGAACTGGGGCTCTTCCTTCGTGGGCCTTTTCGTCATAGAGGGTTTATAGCTGAGTTTGATGAAGATTTTGAGAGGGTAGTGTAGGCTTTTGCCAATGCTTTTATTTTCCAGCATGATGTGCTAGGAAATGTGGGGCTTTGGGTTTAGGGCTCTGTGCGGCTTTCGGGCTTTTGCCTCGCAGGGTTTTGTTCAGGGGCTTTGCGGTTCACGGTGTGAGGTCAGCTGTTGCTTCCTCCTTCAGGGACTGCTGCTGCAGAAGGGTCGGTCCAGCTTGTACCTTGTGTAGCTATCAAAACTAGGGCCTATGCTAGGGCAAAAAACATTGCAACATTGAGAAGCCTGCGGGCGTTGAAAGTAGACCCTTACGGCCTGAACTCCTGAACGCCAAACCTGAAACAGTTTACAGTAGAGTTTGGGTTTTTTAGAACTCAGGGGACAGGGGATGTGGTTGCGTAGGATTGACTGTCGACTGTCAAGCCTAACTTCACATCCCAAGCGCTGTGTCGCTGGGCATCCCATCCTCGACACTAAGCTTAGACCCTGCAGTCCCCAGCCCTAAATCTCAAGAGGCTTCTTCCAAATCAGGATCCTAAAACAACAGATCCTCAACCCAGAAACCCTAATTCGAAACCCTAAACCCTAAGAGCCCTAACCCCCCAGGAACTACAGGCCTGAGGCCGTGACGTCTCGACGAAGAGCTGCGGAACTCGCCTGCGCAGAATGTCCACGAACTGCTCGCTGGTTCCTCTGAATGCTTTGGGATTTACTTGGAGGTTCAGGGGTAGTTATAAGTGGAGTTATAAGTCCCCTAATATAGGTTATCAGTACTCAGTATAGCTACCCTACTTATAACTCTACTTATAACTACCCATGGACCTCTAAGGTGTGGGATTTCGGCGTGTTAGTGTCTGAGGCAGACTCGGGGTGTAGCATGGACCTCGGCAACTCTTTCGGAGGCCTCAAAAGGTGGGATGAAGGTAGGTAATTAGGATTAAGGATCCCTTATATAAGGACTCTTATTCGGGAATATCCCACCTACCTTCATCCCACCTTTTGAAGCCTCCGACTCCTGCATCAGGGGACTTACACTTAGCCAGTCGTCTCTCGGCTGTTTTCCGAGTTTCTTCAGTTCCCTCAACCCCATAATGCGCTGCTTTGAATAATGAGGCGACCCCCCCCCGACCAAAACTTTTTGCGTGAATAGCAATAGCGTGGTGTCCGTGGCCCTAGGGTTTAGGGTTTAGAGGATAGGGTTTGGGCGGCTTTGATTACCAGAAGGGAATTGGGGTTTGGGGAGCGCTTGGGTGGGGGGTCTGCGGTTCTGCGCGGATGCCGGGGTCGGGGTCGGGACCACAAAAAGCGATCACTCCACAGTAGTAGTAGTAGCAGTAGTAGTAGTAGTAGAAGTAGTAGTAGTAGTAGTAGTAGCAGTAGTAGTAGTAGTAGTAGTAGTGGTGGTGGTAGTAGTAGCAGTAGCAGTAGTAGTAGTAGTAGTAGTAGTTGTTGTTGTTGTTGTGGTAGTAGTAGTAGTAGTAGTAGGAGTAGGAGTAGGAGTAGGAGTAGGAGTAGGAGTAGGAGTAGTAGTAGTAGTAGTAGTAGCAGCAGCAGCAGCAGTAGTAGTAGTAGTAGTAGTACAGTAGAAGTACAGTAGTAGTACAGTAGTAGTACAGTAGTACAGTACAGTAGTACAGTACAGTAGCAGTACAGTAGTAGTACAGTGGTAGTACAGTAGTGGTACAGTAGTAATACAGTAGTAGTACAGTAGTAGTGCAGTAGTAGTGCAGTACCGTAGTAGTAGTAGTAGTAGTAGTAGTAGTAGTAGTAGCAGTAGCAGTAGCAGTAGTAGTACAGTATGGTTAGGGTCTAGGGCCTAGTCTAGGGTTTAGGTTCAAGTGGGGTTTCGAGTTTAGGGAGTGCTTCGGGGGGCGAGGCTTTAGATCGTGGCCATCAGCAGACAGGACAGTCACCCCCAAAAAATCCCCCCAGCCAGACAAAATCGCATCAATTAGCCGCCGTCTTTTTGGTACCGGCTTGAATAGTGAGAACCACGCATTAATTAGGCCCATGTTCCAAAGCAAGCCGCCACATTAATCAGGTTCAGAATAGAAGCTCGGGATCAGACTTTACCGAAGAGGGTCGTCTTCGCAGGTAAGACGGGGTGGATTCAGAAAGTTGCATGGAGACCTGGCGCACCTGCCTTCTTGGTCCTTGATGCTCATGTCGGTGGTGATGACGGATAACCGAAAGACTACTGCACTTCCAAAGCAAAAAAGCAAGTACCTTATTTCGAGCTCGAAGTGGTGATAACCGTAGCTACCTTACCCGACACCAGTCTTTTATGGCGGGCTCGACGCTGGAGGAGACTTAAGCATGGTAAACCGCAGGTTACAAGCCAAACAAGCTACGATAAAAGCACCTATACTCACCTACAAGCACACACTCAGGACTCAGGTAAATCCCAAGCCCTAAACCCTAAACCTTAAAGACCTAAACCCTAAACTTCCAGCCCTATAGCACGGGAATCTTTAGCAGCCTTACCCTGCACGCTGGTCCTAGCCAAAAATTTGCAAACCTACTTGGATGTTCATGGGTAGTTCCAAGTAGATTTATAAGTCCCGTAATATGGGTTATAAGTATAGTTACCTTACTTATAACCCTACTTATAACTACCCATGAACCTCCAAGTAGACATACCAACACATCCCGGACCAGCGAGCATCCAACTAGAACTAAACCTGAACATACGTATGCAACTGGGCCAGTACGCATGTGAGTACGCAAGTTTGAACATGTACTGATTTGTGGCGGCGGCTGTTGTTTATGTGTTGGCGGGGTTGTTTCAGTACAACACCGACTGAAACACATAAGGAGGGATGAAAACGAAAAGAAACAGAGAGAGAGAGAGAGAAAGATGTGTCCATGTGCGTGTGCCTGCATAAATGCCGCTAAGTAGCCACATGCATCAACCCACGTTGTCAAGCTTTGCTGAGCCCGTGCTATATATACATATCATATCTGTATGTGTTGAACAGAAACCCCAATTCCAAAGATGCAAAAACGCATCGCAAACCAAACTAGAAATCGCCACACATCTCCGGACAGCCATGTTTCACTAGGTTAGAACCTCCCTCACTCGTCCCCATCTACCCAAAAACCTTACACCTCCGACCCTGAACCCAACACCCTGAATGCAAAAACTCCTTGAAGCCCTGCGAAGGCCTTACCCTATAAGAACCCGGAGAGTTCCTACAGGAACCCATCAAAACCTGTACTACCTGCAATGAGAAAACTTCGACATCCCCGTTTCACGCCCCAAACCACCTTGCTTTCGAACCCCAAACCCCTAAGCCTGGAACCGCTAAACCCCCTAAACCCTAAACCCTAAACCGAAAAAGAGCTCCCCTCTCCGATTGCCAAGCCTTCGAACTTGTGGCAGCAGCCTCTGCAGATTTAGGGTTTAGGGTTTAGGTCATGTTTAGATCAGGGTGCAGGGTTTCAGGGCTTCAGCGGTTGAGGGTGTTTAGGGGTCTAGGAGCTTGGGGGTTGACGGGTTGAGGGGTTGAGCGGTTTAGGGTTTGGGGAGTTTGTCACCCAAGACACGGAAGTATGTTTAGTGCTGACAGTAGGGTGTAGGGATTGGGGTTTAGGGTTTAGGGTTTAGGATTAGGATTGCATGTCTTCCCAAATCCTACTTGTCCAGTATCCTACAACACCTACAGGTCAACTGCCTACTCTACCACTGGGAAACAGACTCAAGTCCCTCTACTAGGAGTTCGCGTTTAGGGATTCGGGTTCAGGGCGTGGGGGCTACGGTCTAGGGTTTTGGGCTTTAGGGGTTGGGGTTTAGAGGTTCAGGGTTTAGGGTCTATCAAGAAACCCATTATCCGTAAAGTCGTCATGGGGTTTAGGGAATATAAGGTTGAGGATGGTTCAGAGCTTAGGGCATGGAGAACATGGAAAAAACTAAAGCTTACTTGGCGGTTCGTGGGTAGCTATAACTAACTATGGATACAAGCAGGGTAACTACACGTATAACCCATATTAGGGGACTTATAACCCCACTTATAACTACCTTAACCTCCAAGTAGGGCTCAGGGTCTTCAGGGTTTAGCGTGTCGATGTTTTATCGTATCAAGTTGCAATGCTTGCACATGCCTTCAAGGTAGTACGTTTCCCTCGATGAGGAAAACATCTACCCGCAGCCAGAGAACGAGCCCACGAAGTGGATGGAGATGCCGCCGCCGAAGGGAACAGAAGAGTACTGTACAAATAATGGTTATTCATAGCCACCAGTAGAGTGACATTCAGAACAGCTCTGCCCTCAACCGCCAGCTGAAAGAGCTTCTTACGTTTTCCCGGACCTCGTGCCTGAGGGCCTGCAGTCCTGAATCCGGGTCTTATTATGGTTAGGGGTTTAGGGTTGAGGGTTCGGGTCTTCGGAACTAAACCCCCAGACCAAAGCCTCAAAAGCCGTGAATCCGTATTGGTAGAGCCCGAGCGTCCAAGATGCAGCCAGACTAAAGAAGGTGCCAGGATAATGTAGGGGCCTTAATATTTAGACTAGGGCTTTGGGACGCATTATACTATACTATAGTTTATTAAGGAACTCGGAACCCTCAAAAAAAAAGCATAGGCAGTTATTTAAGCCTCTATTTTTACATGGAAGGACAAAGGAATTTGCAGGCAGGGTCCAAATTAGGACGCTGCATGTCTCTACCCGCGGCTTCGAGATTTGAGATCACGAAAAGAGCCCAGAGACTAGAGACTCCCAGCCCTGTAAGTAAGACACGGTAGGGTTTAGGGTTTAGGGTTTAGGGTTTAGGGTTTAGTGTTTGGGGTTTAGGGTTTAGGGTTTAGGGGTACCTCAGCTTGTAGCGGTATCGTTCATATGGGAGTTTCCGAAAATAGGGGTACCGGATTTTGGGGTCCTTATGATAAGGATCCTACTATTTTGGGTACTATATTAGGGTCCCCTATTTTCGGAGACCCCCAGCTTGTAGCGGTATCGTTCATATGATTGAAGGTATTCTCGTTAAGCACGGTTCATATGTTTGAAGATATGCTCACTGGGTAGGGCGCCTGGAGCCGAAAACGAGCCTGACACCCACAGCTTTAACTAACCCCGCAACGTTTCAACTGTCTAAACCCTCACTCGAAACTGCTGCTTTCCGGCCTTCCTCCGCTTGCTCCTTCCATCCTCCTGAAGCAACCGGGCTGAGGAATCAGGCGTAGGATGTTGCAAGTGCTGTGTAAAGGCTTTGCAGGGCTTTGAAAAGGTTCGAGTGTGGTTGCATAGCGGTCTTACAAGGGTTTCTTCTACAGCTGTTCACAAAGGATTTAGGGAGCCCGAGATATGGGCTTCAACAGAGACAATCAACGGAGACAATGCATACATTCCATAATTTGAGTACACTTCATACATTTGGATTAATACCTACCGGAGATACCATTCATGCCCCAACTTTAATGCCGTAAGTACCGTCATACATTACATGGCATTACATTACACTACAGTACATTACATCCACATACATACATAATTACATACATACAGACATACATACATACACACACACACACATACATACACACATACATGCATACATACATACATCAATGTACACACAGACGGACAGACAGACAGACATGCATCCAGGCAGGCAGCGAGCGGTCGGGTGGGTGGGCAGGCAGGCAGGCAAGCAGTCAGGCCCACCTACCCACCTACCTAGTTACCTACCTACATTACCTACAATACATTGCATAACCTTACATTATGTTACAATGCATACATTGCATTACAATGCATTACAATGCATTGCACTGCGCTGCACTGCCTTGCATTGCATTGTATCGCTTACTTGCATTACATTACAATACATTACATTACGTTGCACAACATTACGTTACTTGCTCACCCATGCTGGTATCCTTTTTGTCTCTAGTCAAATTTCGGTTGGAACAGTGAGAATCAAGGGTAAACAAGAGTATGCGCGCATGTTATTACTCTGTACAGCATGGAGTGTTTAAACATATACATTTCGTAAACAAGGATACAGGGAGCCACAGCAGAGACGACACAATGCTGCAAACAAGAACACCCCTGCGCCCTGCGCCCCCAACCCTAAACCCTAAAACCCTAAACCCCTAAACCCTAAACCCCTAAACCCTAAACCCTAAACCCTAAACCCCTAAACCCTAAACCCTTAACCCCTAAACCCCTAAACCCCTAAACCCCTAAACCCCTAAACCCCTAAACCCTAAACCCCTAAACCCCTAAACCCTAAACCGGAGCCACAGCCCCCACGCAACCTGAAGCCGAAGCCCTCGACGCCACAAATCCGAAGACGTGCCCGTTCACTGGCCTTCCTCCTTTTGCTCCATCCATCCTCCTCCTGAGGCAGGGCGCAGGAATCAGCGTTGGGGTTTTGTCAGGGCTTCTTACGGGCGTTCTTACCGCTGACATCGCTGTAAAAACGGGTGTCTTATGAGGCTTTAGGACTGAGAGCCTAAGGATTTAAGGCCTGCTCGAAGGGGTAGAGTTGGAAAACTGGTAGGGGCAGCCACCTGTGGGAGTGGGACTAAAGGCTTATTGGGGAGCCGTGTAACACAATGAAAATTCATTTAGAATACTGCAGCGGTTTTCTGCACATAAGAGCACTTTCCACGAACTGCAGGACACGTCAGCCCCTAGCCCTGAACCACAACCCCACGAACCCGAAAAGCATCAAACAACGCCGAGCGTTGCCCCAAAGCACCCTATGCCCAAAGTCTTAACCCCAGCAGAGCGAGGATGCCCGCATCCCTCACCCCAGAGATTGTAAACCTTGCTTCGACCTACGGACCCCAACCTTTTCGGGGATGCTGTTGCTTGTGTCTACTTTAACAATAAATACCTGTGTATATGTGTATACATATGTATATGTATACGTATGTTTATATATATATATATGTATATGTATATATACATCTGCATGCTTGTGTATGGATGTAGGTGTGTATGTATGTACGTATAGATAGATAGACAGATAGATAGATGATAGAGCCAGGGCACATTGGGCACACAGTCCCTCGTCCTGTCGTCTACTCTACGAATGCGGTACCACTTTCTATTCTTGTTTGACTCCACGCAGATCGGGACATGGTGCACACACCTGGAAGTTAGTAGGTTAGAAATACCGACGCTTTCTGTCTGTATATACGCTTGTCTGCATGTATGTAATTCTCTATTCAGTTGCGTGCTTATGTATATATCTCTTTTCCATACTCAAACTCACATTTTCTTACGGAGCATCAGCTCACCTGGAAAGTTCAACAGGCCAGGCTTGAGGGGTCCTACAGCAGGGCCTACATCTACTTTCGGAAACTTCCAGGCACTTCCGGAAGGTCCGTTCGTCGGAGTCCTGCCCGAAATCCACAACATCCCAAACATCCTAAATCCTAAATCGGGAACGGGCCCTACCCCTAAACCCCTCAAAATGACAAACAGGAAACCCCCGCAAACCCTAAACACCGACCAAAGCCTAACCCTGAACCCTAAACCCGAACACCCCCCCCCCCACCACCCCAAATGGAAAAACCGCCGAGAAGCCTATGAACCCCACACTTCCCAGCTCTTTCTTTTGGTTAGCAGGGAATGGAAGAATGGTAGTAATAATAGTTATAATTGTACCCCATTCCTCCATTCCCGGCTAACCGAAGGTAAGAGCTCGCACCTTTCTTTCCTTTGCGGTCCGGACCTGAAGGTGAGGACTCAAGGCTTAGGAGTGGTTGTCAAAATTAGGGTCCCTTTTTGGGTCCCTAATATAGTACGGCACCGAATATTTAGGGTTCCCAAAAAGGGGCCATCATGTTGACAACCACCCATAGGGCTTTAGGGCCATCGGTGCTTTGGATTTGAGTGTCTGGCTTGGGGCTTGTTCGGTCTAGGGCTTCTTTAGGGTCATAAGTGCTGAAGATTTGAGTGTCAAGCTTTAGGGTTAAGGTTGAGGATTTGGGATTTACAGGATTCAGGATTGGAAGGGCGTAGGACTTGTGGGGTCTTGGGGGTTAGACTTCAGGGCAGCGACAACGTCTGGCATGGGTCTCTGGCTGGAGCTTTGGATGTCGGCAAGGCGTCTTAACTTCATTGAGCTGAAAATCACGGAAGGACTCGACTAGGAGATATACAACACATCATATCAACCAACCCTATCAAATTCAAGGTATTGTGGCTAAAGACTGATTATTGGAGTCTCCGTCTTGCGAGGGGTCATGGTGCCGGGCCGATCATGTTCGGGCAGTGCTAGGCGCGCCAAAGGGTTTGATATAGGGGCCTTAATAACTAGAATAGGGTTTGGGGAATGTTTTACTATAATCATAGTAAGGAACCCCCAAAATAGTATCGGTAATTATTTGGGGCCCTACATTAGGGTTTAGGAGTGGCGGGTACCTTGAGGACGTAGGATTTAGAGATGCCAGCACAGGCAGATGAAGAAGATATTCCAAGCTGCGAACAAAAGTGATGGTTCCTTTTCAGTTATATTATATATCGTTGGCGACGTCCATGCAAAAGTAAAAGAAAAGAATGCAGCCTTTAAAACAACTCCGTAGTGCCTTGAAGTCAATACAACCCTGATGGTATCGCCCGCCGGTGCCTTTTCCTCCTTTGCCACCCTTCCCTCCTTTGCCGCCACCTTTGTCATAAGGCCCTTTTCCACCTGCGACGCCGGCTTGCTTCAGGGCTGCGTCTTGAGATTTTTGGCTTAGCCAGTGGCAAATGTCAGACAAGGCTTGCGATTGGGGTTCCGGGTATGGTTTAGTTCGGGCCATGCCGACAATCGTGGTCATGGGCCAACCTATCCCTAAACGCTGTACACTACGGGGTTTCAAGGAGGGCCTGAAAGCGTGGTAGGTTTTGGAGCGTAGTGGGAGTGGCAGCGGTCGCAGTGGTAGAAGCGGTAGGGGCAAAAGTTGGAGAGGGAAGTAGGACTGCTAGCAGCAGCAAAAGTACTAGCAGCAGTAGTCGTCGTCGTAGTAGCAGTCGTCGTAGTAGTAGTAGTCATCGTTGTCGTAGTAGTCGTCGTCGTAGTAGTAGTAGTAGTAGTAGTAGTAGTAGTATATAGTCGTAGTAGTAGTCGTCGTCGTGGTAGTAGTAGTGGTAGTAGTGGTAGTAGTAGTAGTAGTAGTAGTAGTAGTAGTAGTAGTAGTAGTAGTAGTAGTAGAAGTAGAAGTAGAAGTAGAAGTAGAAGTAGTAGTAGTAGTAGTACTACTACTAGTACTAGTACTAGTACTAGTACTAGTACTAGTACTAGTTAGAAGTAGAACTAATACTACTACTGCTACTACTGCTACTACAAGTTAATACTCGGTGCTAAAGCATCTGAGTATCAGTGCTAGAGCTTTGTGCCAGAGCTTTGGGCTGCACAGCGCCTCCCCAGTTGCCCCAGCCGCCGCCCCAGCCACCACCCCAGCCGCCGCCGCCGTGGCCACCACCGTGGCCGCCACCTGGCCATAGGCTGTAGTCTTGAATACGAAGCGAAACCGCAATCTCCCGAAACCGACGAAGCCCTGACCCCTTCTTCCCTAACCCTCTCATTCTACTAAGCACCAGACACCCTGCTTGCTGCAGCTAGTACAAATCAAGCAGGACAGGCCAAGTTCACGACTTTAATTCGTCTTAGTGACGGAAAGGCGACAACAACCATGTCGAGGACATGACTCTCAGAAGACCAGCAGAGGCAGGGCGGTGAGCTTGATAGTAAAGGTTAAAGGATTTCAATGTAGTAGTCGCATCAGTACAATCGCGTTCAATCATCCTGACATTCAACCAAGTCCGGTTCTTCGTGTCGGCAACATCGGCGATGGACAAAACATTCATTATCCGGAATAAGGACAGAAGCATAGTGCCCATGATTCTTCAGGTCACGCAACCACCTCAACTGTTCAACTGCCACACCAATCCTAGACCGTAAACAACAACACCTCAAGCCAATAAGATGTTGTCCATCAACAGGTCGTCATGAAAGCGCCCCTGAAACTACCTGCTGTCTTCTGCACCACGCAATGTCTCGGGGATGGGATACAACGACCCTGAAAACCCCTCCCCTAGACCCCTCAACACTAAACCCCCTTTGAAGCCCAAGGTACCAGATACTCTGCACAAAGCTGCACAAACAACGCGTGCAATCCTTACCAGATCCAAAAAGCCAAGAGCCGTCCCCAAACTCGAAAACCTTATACATATATATATATATAGATATATATACACCAGAATAGATATATATATATATATATATATATATATAGGTTCAAGGTTTAGGATATAGGATCAATATTTCAAGAACCCTTAATATGCCCGGAACCCACAACCCGTGAACCTCAAGATTCACGTTAAATTCCCCCTTATACCCCCGGTATCACACATAGCACCCTCTAACTACTTGGGTGCGGGCGCATAGGGCGCAGTGTGGTTTTCGTACTTAGAATGTGCGTGTGTGTGGGGTCTTAGCATGATTTCTACAAAAGAACAGGTTTGTAGGACATCACCGAAACTAAATGCATTTTACGGTTAGTAATATCATCAGCTAGCAACATCATTTTCACCGTCATTAGGTTTTTTATCGTCATGTTTCAGCATATTAGCAATCATCACAATGATAAATGATAATGATCAAAATCACCATCATTATCGTCAGCAACATTTTTATCATCTTAGGCATCTTCATCATCATGACGACCCTCATCATTGTCGGTAACAACATTATGTTCACCGTCATTAGGTTTTATATGTCTCCGAGAGACTTCTCACACGTTTCTCACAGACTTGCAAGACGTTTCTCAAAGGCCTATCACAGGTTTCTCACAGACTTATCACAGACTTCTCACAGACTTCTGATTGGTTTCTCAGAGGCTTGTCACAGGTTTCTCACAGGTTTCTGAGAGACTTCTCAGAGGTTTCCCACAGACTTCTCGCATACCTATCACAAGTTGCTCACAGACTTCTCACAGACGTCTGAGACGTTTCTCAAAGACGCATCACCGGTTTCTCACAGACTTCTGAATAGACTTCTCAAAGGTTTGTCACAGGTTTCTCATAGGTTTTTGAGAGACTTCTCACAGGTTTCGCACAGACTTCTGAGACGTTTCTCAAAGATGGCTTGCAACTGCCCGCTCGAGAGGATATGCGACGGCCGGACGCTATTTAGCCCTCCCCCCCACCCCCACCCCCCACCCCCTTCGTCCTGAACAGTCCTGAACAGCAGTAAAAACCCTTTATTTGTGCAGTAAAAACACTAAAAACGCATGAAACCACCTGGCGCCCTATGCGCCCGCTACCAACTACTTACCTTGGGTTCGTAGGGAATGGAAGAATGGTAGTAATAGTAGTTATCATTATCATTGTATCCCATTCCTCCATTCCCTACTAACCAAAGGTAAGACTAACCCTATCCTAGAACCCTTATCATATGCTATGCCACCTGGCAGCCGATTCTTTCCTCGACCTTCAACCTCTATAGCTTGCCTTACAAGGAACCCTACAGCAACCTCTCTAGCCTATATATCGCTACGATATAGTGGCCTAGGCGTCGTGGGTACATTATATTTTACTATACATATTTTCCAAAGCCGTAAGGGTTAATATCGGTAATTTTTCAAGCTTCTATTTACAGCATCTCGATAAGAAGCTCTCAGTCAAGCACCGGCCTCCCCAGCTACCACCTCCGCCGCTGCCTCCTGTGCTGCCACTCCCGGGGTCCTTGCGCAGAGGTCGTAGGGTTAAGGGTGTAGGATCGAGGGGTTAAGGTACTAACCCTAACCCTCAAAGCCTAACCCCTAAACCCTAAACCCCTGAGGGGGTTGAGTCACAGGGTTTAGAGTTTAGGATTGTAGGCTTTTGAAATGCGCTTTTGGGGCCCACATCTTATGTACTTGCGGCTCCTCAACTATGGACCCATGACCCCCAAGACCCGTTGTACAGTATCTCGGCTGGAAAGTTTCAGAAAGGATGAACGTACCGGGTGACATCGACGTAACAACTTCACCAAGTACTGCAATTTAGGGAGACCGCCCCAACCTTCTGAGGCCTACAAACAAAGCCCACTGCAAAATCCCATAAGACCTTTACAATAGAACGGTGCCAACACATGCCACCAAAGAATCACGACCACCCCCGCCCTCCCAGTCCCGATTGCGCCGGCCCTCGGGAGCGCGAGGAATGCGCATCGCACCTCTGACCGTGGCCACTGCATGTTCAAGGCTTCAAAAACAATAGGGTAAAGGCTCCAGTAACCCTAAACCCTAACGGCCCTAGACCCTAAACCTTGTAGGGTTATAAGTAAGGTAGCTATACTTATAACCCATATTAGGGGACCTATAACCCCACTTACAACTTCCCTAAACCCTATAAAACCCCTATAAGGCCCTCCAGAACCCTTGAAGGAATCCTATAACCCCACTCATAACTACCCTAAACCCCTAAACCCTGTAGAACCCTTAAAGGAACCCTTAAAGGAACCCTGAAAGGAACCCTATAACCCCTGAACCTCCAAGTACGGCTTCGGGTTTCGGCTACCGGCTCCGGAGCCCCAAAAGGCACCACGGGATTCCCAGAGACTCCAATATCCCTTAATTCAGGAATATACCTTAAATTATAGTAGGATCCTTAATATGATTTAAGGTATATTCCTATGTAAGGGATATTGGAGTCTCTGGATTGGGCTGAGAGTTTAGGGCTTAGGTTCCAGTGTTCTGGGGTTTATAGGGCTTAGGGCGTTTAGGGTTTTAGGGTTTCGGGTTTAGGGTTTTCGGTTTTAGGGATTTAATTAAGCTTTTAGGGTTTAGGGTTTAGGCTTCAAGGCTTTAAATTTAAGGGTTTGGGGCATAGGGCTTCGGGTTTGGGGTGGTAGGATATTTCAGGCAGTGGACAGCTCGCTGAGACCGTTGTGAGACTGGTAGTCCTGCAACCTCAGCCGGAAACCCCGTGCCGTTCACTTCATAAGCCCTGTACACCCACGAACCCAACATACCCAAAATCCTGTGAATGCACACCCCATGACCTCGAAGGGTCTTCGGAGTTTCGGCGTGCGAGAGTCGGCGCTGACAGGTCCCCACTCCAAAAGCCCTCACTCATGTTGAGCATGCTTTTCAGAAATTCACGGTTTAGAGTTTAGGGTATGGCGCTGCAAACCGCTTTAACCTTTCAGGGCTCAAGGATGCTGGGGGAGTAGCTATGTGATGTGATGATGTTCGAAATCGAAAGAACAACAAACAGAAAGACTAGCTGAAGCGATCATTGGTGATGCCAAGCAAGAGAAGAGCTATCACAAGCAGACCACAATCTGGTCGGATCTAGACATGCAGAGCTTGGAGCTCGGTCAGGTCTGGGGACTTAGGACTTGTGACTAAAATGGCGAAGGTCGTCGGCGTTTAGGGTTTAGGGTTTAGGGTTGAGGGCCTGAACATCTCATAGCCGAAGCTTTCCGCACCCAAACTCGGAGCCGAGGTGCAGTAGCTTAGCTCCTTCCCTGTGCGACGGCACATGCCGTTCTTCGCCCACTCGCCGTGCGTCCGCCCCTGGCTGAGTCAGAAGTAGGGAACGAGGGCCTGGGGTTTGAGCACTTTGGGTTGAGAGTCAAGGATTACGGTTTTTACGGGGATTCAGGGTCGAAAGGTGGGAGCCAGAGTTCATGACCGTGACCCTCGTCCCGACATTCGAAAAGCTTCTTGAGCTTTGCAGTGCTCAGCAATCGGCGACACACCGCGAGACTACACAGATCCTGCACACACACCTCGGGCCTAAGTGTCGAGCTGAGCAGGGAGCCCGAATATGCTCTAAAAACACTCTGCGAAGGCCAACAAAAGCACTGCAGAGGGCCCCAAACCCTAAACCCCGAAACCCAGGAACCCCTAAACCAAACCCCTAAGCCCACAAAACCCCGAAACCCCTACACCGCGAAACCCCAAACCCCGACACCCCTAAACGCCTCAACCCCTACTGGGTGGTTATAAGTAGGGTCCTAAGTAGGGTAACCATACTTATAACCCATATTAGGGAACTTATAACCCAACTTATAACTACCCCAACCCCTAAACCCCTAAACCCCTAAACCCTGTAGAACCCCTAAGGGAACCCTAAACCCTTAAAATCCCAGCTATAACTAGCCATGAGCCTCCAAGTACTTACCTTTGGTTAGTAGGGAATGGAAGAATGGTAGTAGTAGTAGTAGTAGTAGTAGTAGTAGCTATAATTGTACCCCATTCCTCCATTCCCTGCTAACCAAAGGTAAGAGTACACCCCAGCTAGGCCTCGGCCTTCGCCAGCGTGATGCAACGGGGGAGCTCCTCGAACTTACCTTTGGTTAGTAGGGAATGGAAGGGGCCTTATAAAGGGGTCTATAAGGGTTACTATAAGGGGATCTATAAGGGTAATATAATATAGGGGCCTTAGTAATCCTATAACTTACCTTTGGTTAGTAGGGAATGGTAGTAATAGTAGTTATAATTGTATCCCATTCCTCCATTCCCTGCTAACCAAATCCTGCTTTCCTTCCCGATGGTTTTGTAAGCCCCCGGGGCCCAATCCTATACTGTAGCCGAAAGGAGCCAATTTGGTACCTTGAGTCACCTTCTGCCCTTGGGCTCCTAGGGTAGATGGCTTGAAGGTTGATGTACGGCCTGAAACAGGGGATGGAAGGTCCAAGTCTTAAGCACTTCAGTGCGAACCGCAGAAACCTTACGTTTTTGGCTCGCTTGCAGAAGCCTAGTGCCCCCGGAATGGAGCGAGGCGTTAAGCGAATGGTTGTAGGGTTGTGGGTTTAAGTAAGGTTTAGGGTTTAGGATTTCGGGTTTACGTTAGGGTTTAGGGTGCAGGGTTTTGGGTTTAAGTGTTAGGCTAGGGACACTGGTTTTATGTGGTTTTCTAAGGCGCTTCTGCTGATATATCACTTTCAGCCGAGCGATTCGGGATCGGGGTGTTGGGTTTGGGAGCCAGGGTTGAGGAGTGAGGCTTTCGGGCCCGGTTAGGTAGCTCCGTGGCATCATCATCCTTGTAGTAGCCCTTGCAGGACACTTGTAGAACCCTCATGGAAGCGTTTAAACCCCTAATAACTCTATTCCTTGCTTGGTGCTTGTTGTCGAACCTGAAGAACCCTGGGTGAAATCTCCTGGCCCTCTTGGAACTCGAAGAAAATCTCCTCAACTGGCAAGACCTGCAGGGTTTCAGAATTTAAGGCGTAGGGTTCAGGATTGTGCCTGAAGGATTCCTGGCTGCCCTTTCAAGACTTAGCAGCCTTCAACAGTTCAACAGCGACAGATGAAAGACGTCTTGGAGGCTATTACACCAGGGATCTGGTGGTTGTGATGCCACAAGAGAAATCCTGGACGATCCTGGACTCTAGCCTAGACAGCGTAACATAACTCATCTTTCGAGCCGCTACACACAGTGAGGCTGAGGATTGTCGACTGTCGTAGCAGCGCAGCAGCGATGAGTCGAGCTCTAGGCTTCCTCTCGTCTAGAGCAGAATATGAACACGATCCCAAAGTGATTCCAAACTTAAAGCCAGCCCATGAACCCTGAAGTGCTAGATTTACCGTATTGCGGTTCGTATCACTAGCAAGACTGATCACTGTCATATTCATAACAAGGAATAAGCATAACAAGAAGAATAATATCAATAAGAATAGTAAGAATAATGCAGCTAACATTAATAAGAAGAGACAAACTCATAAGAATAATAAGAAGAACAAGAAGAATAATACTAATAAGAATAATGAAGTTAGCAATAACAATAATAATAATAATAATAATAATAACAATAATACTAATAATACTAATAGTAATACTAATAATAATAATAAGATTAAGAATAATAATAATAATAATAATAATAATAATAGTACTAATACTAATAATAACAATAATCATAACAAGAGCCCTCATCCCTAGGGGCTTCTCCGCGGGAACCTGCACGCCGAATTCCGGGCTTAGGTGCTTTTTTGAGGGCCGGGGGCTTAGGGTTTACCCATAGGCCCCAAAGTAGTTCCTTTTTTGGGAATATATTGTAGGATTCTATAAACGAACCCCAAAAAAGGAACTACTTTGGGGCCTTGGAGCCTAGGGCCCAGGGGCTTAGGATCACACTCCGGAACTAGAATCCTGAGGAGCCGGATCCCTGAATCAGGTCCCCAAACCCTACAAAAATTTTAGGTCATGACCCCTTAATCGGAGGGTATACACCACCCCAACAAAAACATAAACAAAAAACAATAGGTTTTGGGCTTCGCAGGTTTTGCTTGAAACCCCTCATAAACTCCCCCTCTTGTGGAGGGCTCACATTAAAGCAAGCGACTCTGCGGTGGTTGTCCAGCCACTCGCGATCGGGTGTTACCATACGCTTGTCCTAAGACCACGGCAGAGTTCGAAGTGCAGAAAGGTTGGGCCTTACCAAAATCCCTTGCAAAAGACTTATCGAGTCCTTCTTAGGATCCGCCGAAGGGCCTTACGACAACAGAGATTCGAAGGTTGTTCGGAGAAAGGTGCTGGGGCCAGTACAGGCTTTGAGGGGTCTGGTTCTGAACAAGCACCCTCACAGCCACGAACTGTTCCGCAGTTCCCTATACCCCAGTGCAACCCTCAGCCCCATAATCAATGCACGTTAGAAGGCCTGTAACAATGGCCCAACATCTCAGAAAATGCGGGTGCTGGAATCTGCCCTAGACTCCGAAGGCAAACTCTGCATGTTTTTTAATGTTCCTTTGCGCACTCCTGCCAAAGTGCCTGCAGCCTGGTATAGAAATTACAAATCCCACGAGAAGTTTTGTCGGTCCTGCAAGAACCTCCAGACCTTCCGAGCTTGGGGTCTTGGGTTTAGGATTTAAGTTCCGGGGCTAATTTAGTTTAGGTTTCAGGGCTTTTGTTTAGGATTCGGGGTTAAGGTTTCAGGGCTTAAGGTTTAGGGTTCAGAGTTTAGTTGTCCAAGGTTTTAGCATGCTTAAAGCTTAGGGTCCAGGGTGTGGGCTTTAGTGCTTGGGGGTTGGGCTTCAGGGTCTAGTCTTCTACAAAGCTTTCTTTGACAAGCCTGCCCTGCGCCCTGCTGTTGGCTACCACGCACCTTGACCTTTACCTGAAAGGCCTAAACCCTAAACCCTAAACCCTAAACCGTCCCTAAAACCTAAACCCTAAACCGTCCCTAAACCTAAACCCTAAACCCTAAACCCTAACACAATTAAAGATCCTGAGGCCCTGCAGCCGAGAAGCCGAATAAGGCATCCGCAACCCGATTGAAGGCCGAGTCCTTTCAAGGTCTTCACTTAGAGGTTCATGGGTAATTATAAGTAGGCTTAAAAGTAGAGTAACCATACTTATAACCCATATTAAGGGACTTATAACCCACTTATAACTACCCCTGAACCTCCAAGTTCAGGAGCTTTCGAAGGGGGTGGCGATCGTCAGGCTCTGGGGTCTTTAAAGAATAGCTTCAGGATATGGCGCCTCAGCAGGACCCAGAGACTCCACAATCCCTTAACTAAGGAACATACCTTAAAATCATATTAGGGAACCTACTATAATCGGTTTAGGGTTTAGGGTTTAGGGTGTAGGGCCTAAACCCTAAACCCTAAACCCTTATAATTTAAGGTATATTCCGTAAATGAGGGCTATAGGAGTCTCTGGGGTTGCAGGTTTATTGCTTCAGGTTTAGAGGCCTGGGAAGCTGAAAGACCTCGGGCTCTCTCTCCCAATTTTGAAGTCCCAACAATCATGGCCCAGCCCATGCCTCAAAACCCGGCCCTAAACCCCACAAACCTTAAAATCCTAAACCCTGACGCTCTAAACCTCCAAAACCCTCAACCCCCGAGAGCAAGAGCTCTCGAACACTGTAACCTTAATCTTTTGAATGGTGCTTTCGGGTATCTGTCGGTATGTATGTATGTATGTATGTATACATATATATATATGCATACACATACACATATACATATACATATGGCGACGTTGATGAAACCATATTTCTGCTGTCTCTTGGGGCATAAGCATGCTTGCTGCTCAACCCCTAGCCAGCAAACACCTCACCTGACAGAGTTTAGGGGGTTTAGGGTTTAGGGGGTTTAGCGACAGGTCCAGGTTCATGGACGCCACACTCTCAACAACCTCAAGCCTAGTCCCTACATCCTAGTGCGTCTACAGTCAAGGCTGTGTGGACCTTGCTGACTCAGAGTTGATGTGTGGTCTTCTGGCAAAATGCGGATCCCCTTCCCTTGAGCTGGGCCCGTGGGCAAGACCCAACCTACACTTAACCTGTAAACCCTATGAGACCTGCACCACGAGGAACTTTTCATGAACCCTAGAAGCCCTGTAAGTCGTATAAGCCCCAAAACCTATGCAACATAAACTAAACTACTAACCCCCCTTCCGCACACACTCCCTAAACCCCAAACCCGAACCCTAAACCCCAAACCCTAAATCCTAACACGTCACATAAACTCAGCCCAGTTAAGCTGGCAACAGATTGAACCTTCCGAGGCCTGAAGAAACACTTCATGGGTTTGCTTTAAAGGGCTTTGCAAGGGCTTCTAGGGGGATTCCTTGGGGGTTTCTCATAGTTCGAGAATAGTAGGGTTTCCGGGTACGGGTATAGCATAGTAAATGGCTATTGCACTTATGACAAACCCGGGTATAGCATAGTAAATGGCTATTGCACTTATGATAAACCCTACCATAGAGAGGATTAATAAACGTCCTATGATTACTTCAATCATGATTGATGCCCGAGGTTTGCGTGGCTGAAGCTTCAAGTCGGCGCTTGGAAGGTGAAGGCTGCGGGGTTCGAAAAAGGATGCAGCCGAAGGGACGTCGTGACATCAAAGATAGAGTCCCATTCATTATTCCTCAGCAAGCACATCCGACATTAAGGGTTTGGGGTTCTGGCTCATCGGGCTGGGGTGCTTGGGATGTCATGGTGTAGGATACTCATAGTCTGGGAAGAGGTACGGTTTCTGGCAAACGGCTGGATCAGCTCGCCAAAATGTACATTGGTAGGTCATCATCGATGTCCATTTGGGGTTTCCGAGAATAGGGGACCCTAGACTAGTACCCTAAATTGGAAGATCCTTATTACAAGGACCCCAAATAAGGTATCCCTAATTTTGACAACCACCCATTTGGCTCGAGCTGCAAAGCTTGGGATTCTCACTGCTCCTTCCACTTCGCCCGGGCGGGGGTCGGTTTAGGGTTTAGGGTTAGACTCTGATGAGTTTGGGTGCAGGATGACTAAGCATGACTAAGACCTAAAACCGAAGATGGTAGAGCGGAGCTCCTTAAGAAGGGGTGGAAAGGATTTAAGCACTAATTCCCGAATCCTAAACCTCGAACCCCCAACCCTAATCCCTAAACCCGGTGTAAGGTTGAGCCTAAGGGTCTTCGCATTGGATAAAAGGCCAGCCGACACGGTTAGGGTTTAGGGTTTGAGGTTTAGGGTTTAGGGCTGGAATCCTCGCCCAAATCTCGGGCCCCTAAGTCATGATAAGAAGCCTTATAGAACTGACTGCACACTCCTGAAGGGGTGTTGGCCTCTCTGCCAAAAACAAATGCCACTGAATCCCAGACTTTCGGTGGTTTGGAGACACGTCTTAGGCTTTGGCTTCAGGATTTAGGGCTGGGATGTTTGGGATTTGGGATGGTTTCTGGTACTAGGATCGGGGAGGCTGATCCTGATAGCCTTAACCTACTGAATCCTAGTCCTTGTCACGAGAGGGCGTTTTGGATCGGGATTGGACTGCCTTGGCTGCTTACGGTTTGTGGTTACATATGTGGATTGCATATTGGACTTTATCACCCGGCGGGCGCACCCCCGAACTGCAGTCTCACATGTTACAAGTCTGAATTCGTGTCCATCCATAATATTCGTCACAATGCCGACACTGCCTGGCAGCCTATTGCTGGTTGGTGCATGCGCCCTGGATCGGAACCAAGCAACAACCAAGCCTGGGCTCTGAAGCATCATTAGCCCTAATCCTTCTATCGGGAAAGAAAAACACGCATGCCAAACCCCTCCGCGTGCTCTTTTGAAAATGGTTTCTGGGGGGAGATATGAATGTATACTTAAAAGACAGCCTATAACTTAAGAGAGTTTGCTAAGACCGCTATGTATCCTGTTGACGCGAGCTGCGGCTGACAGAGCCACTCCTGGGTGCCTACAGGTTTTGCCAAGTGTCTCATTCTTGCGCTTCGCGCGCTGCAGCAGCTGAAAGACCACGTGAGCCTGCCGCTTCTTGTGTCGGGATAGTAATGGGGCGTTTCATCTGGCGCTTCGCGAGTAGGTTTAAGGCTCAATGGTTCGGGGTAGATAGGATGTGCAGGGACCAGAGCGTCGGGAGTAGGTCTTGGGGCGCACAGGGCGCAGAAACAGAACCCCTAAGGCCTCAGAGATAATGTAAATGGCTATCGGACATTGGCGTGCGAGGCTTTCGGGCAGGCATGGGTGGTAGGTTTAAGGTTTCGGGTCCTTTCCGCACTATCAATGCTCTTCGAGAAAAGCCTCGTTGAACGCTTACAAAGCCAACCCCTTATAGACAAAGTTGCACAGAGCTCACAGCTCATAAAACTCCAAGCCCCTGAGCCCGTGCCTCGTCCTGGCTCCATTCCTGGAACCGGCGCACTGTCAACTTACGCGCTGCCGCTGCACGCTCCTTGTTCACAAGAAGCATCGGCCTCGAAGCCAATACTGTAGGGGCTGTAATGGTGTTGGGCTATACAACATTTTAATTATCCTGAGGAACCGTAGGAGTGGTAGCTAAGTTTTCCAATGCTTGTATTACGATTTGTAGAGTTTACGGCTCAGAGGCTTAAAGCCTTAAGGTCTTACGGGTTTGGGTTTAAAGGTCCCTTTTGGGGTTTCCAAGATGAAGACTGATGTTTTGGGGGAGCATGATGACCCAGGTGATCTACTTGGAGGTTCAGGGGTACTTATATGTGGGGCTATAAGTCCCCTAATATGGGTTATAAGTAAAGTTACCCTACTTACAACCCTACTTACAACTACCCGTGAACCTCCAAGTAGGGTTCAGGGAAGAGGTGTGCGAATTTGAGGCTGAACTCCGGTATCAGGCCTCGCCCGACACGAACTCTCCAGCAATTAAGGATTTCAATCCCTGGACATCTTGCACAAACTACACCAATACCTAAAGGATCGGGGAACATAGTGAGTGGAGGTCTAAGTAAGGTAACTGTAGGTATATCTAATGTTTGGAAACACAAACGAAATCTCCCACGCAAGGCATGAGTGGATCAAGCAAGGTCACTATGCTCTTGTTACGCATGGTTCTTGCAGACGATACCAGCTAGATACGGCGGTGCCAACGGCGATGCCGATGTCGGCGCAGACGTCGACGCCGGCGCGAGCATCATCAGCATCAGCTCGAAATCCTTTCGATCTTAATCTCCTATGCCCCGACCTTTGAACCCACGGCAAGGTAGCAGTTCGACCCAACTGCTGGGCAGATTCAGCGAAGCCCGACAAAAGCATCAGCAGCATCAGCTCGAAATCCTCTCAAACTCAATCTCCGATCCCAGAGCCTCTGAACCAACCGCAGCGTAGCAGTTCGACCCAACTATTGGGCAGATTGAGCGAAGCCCGACGCGAGCATCATCAGCATCAGCTTGAAATCCTTTCAAACTCAATCTCCTATCCCCGAGCCTCTGAACCCACAGCAGCGTAGCAGTTCCACCCAACTATTGGGCAGATTCAGCGAGGCCCGACGCGAGCATCATCAGCATCAGCTCGAAAACCGTTCAAACTCAATCTCCTATCCCCGAGCCTCTGAACCCACAGCAGCGTAGCAGTTTCACCCAACTATTGGGCAGATTCAGCGAAGCCCGACGCGAGCATCATCAGCATCAGCTCGAAATCCTTTCAAACTCAATCTCCTATCCCCGAGCCTCTGAACCCACAGCAGCGTAGCAGTTCCACCAAACTACTGGCAGATTCAGCGAAGCCCGATGCGAGCATCATCAGCATCCGCTCGAAATCCTTTCAAACTCAATCTCCTATCCCCGAGCCTCTGAACCCGCGGCAGCGTAGCAGTTCCACCCAACTAGTGGGCAGATTCAGCGAAGCCCGACGCGAGCATCAGCAGCATCAGCTCGAAATCCTTTCAAACTCAATCTCCTATCCCCGAGCCTCTGAACCCACAGCAGCGTAGCAGTTCCACCCAACTATTGGGCAGATTCAGCGAAGCCCGACGCGAGCATCATCAGCATCAGCTCGAAATCTCTTCAATCTCAATCTCCTATCCCCGAGCCTCTGAACTATCAGCAGGGTAACAGTTCCACCCAACTATTGGGCAGAGCCTCTGAACCCACAGCAGCGTAGCAGTTCCACCCAACTATTGGGCAGATTCGCGAAGCCCGACGCGAGCATCATCAGCATCAGCTCGAAATCCTTTCAAACTCAATCTCCTATCCCCGAGCCTCTGAACTCAGCAGGGTAGCAGTTCCACCCAACTATTGGGCAGATTCAGCGAAGCCCTACGCGAGCATCATCAGCATCAGCTCGAAATCCTTTCAAACTCAATCTCCTATCCCCGAGCCTCTGAACCCACAGCAGCGTAGCAGTTCCACCCAACTATTGGGCAGATTCAGCGAAGCCCGACGCGAGCATCATCAGCATCAGCTCGAAATCCTTTCAAACTCAATCTCCTATCCCCGAGCCTCTGAACTAACAGCAGGGTAGCAGTTCCACCCAACTATTGGGCAGATTCAGCGAAGCCCTACGCGAGCATCATCAGCATCAGCTCGAAATCCTTTCAAACTCAATCTCCTATCCCCGAGCCTCTGAACCCACAGCAGCGTAGCAGTTCCACCCAACTATTGGGCAGATTCAGCGAAGCCCGACGCGAGCATCATCAGCATCAGCTCGAAATCCTTTCAAACTCAATCTCCTATCCCCGAGCCTCTGAACCCACAGCAGCGTAGCAGTTCCACCCAACTATTGGGCAGATTCAGCGAAGCCCGACGCGAGCATCATCAGCATCAGCTCGAAATCCTTTCAAACTCAATCTCCTATCCCCGAGCCTCTGAACCCACAGCAGCGTAGCAGTTCCACCCAACTATTGGGCAGATTCAGCGAAGCCCGACGCGAGCATCATCAGCATCAGCTCGAAATCCTTTCAAACTCAATCTCCTATCCCCGAGCCTCTGAACTAATAGCAGGGTGGCAGTTCCACCCAACTATTGGGCAGATTTAGCGAAGCCCTACGCGAGCATCATCAGCATCAGCTCGAAATCCTTTCAAACTCAATCTCCTATCCCCGAGCCTCTGAACCCGCGGCAGCGTAGTAGTTCCACCCAAAGCTCGAAATCCTTTCAAACTCAATCTCCTATCCCCGAGCCTCTGAACCCACAGCAGCGTAACAGTTCCACCCAACTATTGGGCAGATTCAGCGAAGCCCTACGCGAGCATCATCAGCATCAGCTCGAAATCCTTTCAAACTCAATCTCCTATCCCCGAGCCTCTGAACCCACAGCAGCGTAGCAGTTCCACCCAACTATTGGGCAGATTCGGCGAAGCCCGACGCGAGCATCATCAGCATCAGCTCGAAATCCTTTCAAACTCAATCTCCTATCCCCGAGCCTCTGAACTAACAGCAGGGTAGCAGTTCCACCCAACTATTGGGCAGATTCAGCGAAGCCCTACGCGAGCATCATCAGCATCAGCTCGAAATCCTTTCAAACTCAACCTCCTATCCCCGAGCCTCTGAACCCACAGCAGCGTAGCAGCTCCATCCAACTATTGGGCAGATTCAGCGAAGCCCGACGCGAGCATCATCAGCAAATCAGCTCTGAACCCACATAGCAGTTCCACCCAACTATTGGGCAGATTCAGCGAAGCCCGACGCGAGCATCATCAGCATCAGCTCGAAATCCTTTCAAACTCAATCTCCTATCCCCGAGCCTCTGAACGCAGCGTAGCAGTTCCACCCAACTAGCAGCAGCGAAGCCCGACGCGAGCATCATCAGCATCAGCTCGAAATCCTTTCAACTCAATCTCCTATCCCCGAGCCTCTGAACCCACAGCAGCATAGCAGTTCCACCCAACTATTGGCAGATTCAGCGAAGCCCGACGCGAGCATCATCAGCATCAGCTCGAAATCCTTTCAAACTCAATCTCCTATCCCCGAGCCTCTGAACCCACAGCAGCGTAGCAGTTCCACCCAACTATTGGGCAGATTCAGCGAAGCCCGACGCGAGCATCATCAGCATCAGCTCGAAATCCTTTCAAACTCAATCTCCTATCCCCGAGCCTCTGAACCCACAGCAGCGTAGCAGTTCCACCCAACTATTGGGCAGATTCAGCGAAGCCCGACGCGAGCATCATCAGCATCAGCTCGAAATCCTTTCAAACTCAATCTCCTATCCCCGAGCCTCTGAACCCACAGCAGCGTAGCAGCTCCACCCAACTATTGGGCAGATTCAGCGAAGCCCGACGCGAGCATCATCAGCATCAGTTCGAAATCCTTTCAAACTCAATCTCCTATCCCCGAGCCTCTGAACCCACAGCAGCGTAGCAGCTCCACCCAACTATTGGGCAGATTCAGCGAAGCCCGACGCGAGCATCATCAGCATCAGTTCGAAATCCTTTCAAACTCAATCTCCTATCCCCGAGCCTCTGAACCCACAGCAGCGTAGCAGCTCCACCCAACTATTGGGCAGATTCAGCGAAGCTCAGGTCATCGCTCCGAAACCAAAAAACTGCCTAAGATCCTGTCGCCTCTGTTGCAGACGAGGGGCCAAACGAGATGGTAGGACTCCTTGAAGATATCAGGGCCCTTGTAAAGGCCGCAGGCCTCGCCGAAGAGGTCCTAACCCTCAAAGGTTTTCGGCATCTGACAGAAAATCCTGTTTCGGAAATGGTATAGCTCGACATGTCGTAGTCCGCCTTGATTGTTCACTCCCTGCTTGCTTTGACTGGTTCTGTTTTCGTTTTCTTGGCGTAGGGTTCAAGATTCAGGGTTATAGTCCAAAGAGTGTTTAGGGCTTACCTTAACCCCAAATAACCTACCTGTTTTATAGACTTATATAAGGAAGTCACAACAAGGAACTTTAAAAAGGTAGGTTTTTGGGGTCCAGGTATAATAAACCCCATAAAGTTGGAAACCGGATTAAGGCCAAATAGTGCTGGGATTCCCTATATATCAATCTTAAGGGTCGAGGCTATGGGGTTTCCAACTTTTGGGCTTCTACTGTAGGGGGTTTGGGGGTCGAGACACCTTAAATAAGAATAGTAATAGTAACAATAATACTAGTAGTAATAATAGTAATAATGATAATAGTAAAAGTAGTAATAATAGTAATAATAATAGATAGGGGGAACTTCGAATCCATCCGGCCTCGTAGAGGCAAAGCCGCATCTCCATACCGGGGAATATCCTGGGCTCGAGACTTCCCGGAGCCCAGCCACACCGCCAACCCTAATTTAGGAGCCTGAGGAATTAGAATAGGATTCTGGGGCCCGTTATACCAGTTCTATAGTATGGAACCCCAGAATTTTCTCGGTAATCTCTAAGGCCACTATGGTAAACGCTAGTCCGAAACTCCTCCCTGAACACAAACCCGCCACACCCCGTATAAACATTCCGTGTAAAACTCTACAAGCGCGAAAGCCCGAACTTCACAACTGCACCATGACTGGGCCTTTAAGTAACCAAGGAGAAAAAATATAAACTTGTATTTCATAATGGTTCCTTTCAGAAAGAAGTATGGTACTCCAAAGCCCAGATGAACAAGAGCAGAAACAAAGCGCTACACTGGCAGGTGTCTCCCGCAAGACCTTCGCCCGCCATTTCAACAACTCCTTGGGATTCCGTCTGCATGCTTGGATCGGTTTGTTAGAAAGTGAAGGGGGTGCTAAGGGTACAGTTGCAGGGTGTACGGTTTACAGTAGGGCTTATATAAGAGGCTTGGCGCTGAAGGGCTGCAACAGTGTTCTATAAGAGTGTTATGAGTTCGCGAAGTTTGAGTGCTTACAAGTTGCAGGCTTGGCTGGGGTTTGAATTTGAGGCCCGCCTGAGCTTCAAAACTGAAGGTAAAGGACTTTTGTGGTTTCGGGTATGTGTGCGGTGCAGAGCTTATTCGCGGCTGTTAGCGGGCGTTAGGGGTCCTTGCGGCTTTTAGCATTGTTACGGTCACGGGCTTCTTTAGGGTGCTGCGACATAGGACTGCTGTTCGCTATAATTTGATGTAGATACGACAGTCCGATTCTGTGGCGATACCCTGTGATGTTCTGAACCAAGAATATGGGTTGAATACAACTTCAAAGTTTTGCGCCCAAAACCGTAACGGAATCGGATCCAACATCTCATCAGTCCCCACGACGGGGACTTCATTGCGATGCTCCACATACCCTAGCTGGTCCTTGTTAAGGAACTTCATTAAGTTACCACAATAGGGATCTATAGTAGATAATGGGGCTTCCTTCTTATGGTAACCTAAATTGCTTCCCTTAACTAAGGGGCCCCAGAAGGACATAAGCATACGCATGTTGTAAGGAAATCCGTTCCTTATTGGGCTTCATTCTAAGAGGGTTTATATGCGATATCCCTATCCTCATTTTGCATATACCCTAAACCCTAAACCCTAAACCCTAAACCGTGGCCCTATTAACAAAAACCCGACCTAAGTTCCCTTTCTAAGGTTTCGGAACCGTTGCCCTGGCGCAAACGAGACGCGCCTAGGTTCCTTTAAAGGGGTCCTTGAAGGGGTCTATATGCGTCCGCGTTCCGCGTTCTCGACCCCCCCCCCCCCCAATGGTATCCCCCCCCCCCCCGACCCGGGCGACCACACAACAAGAACAAGAACAAGAACAAGAAGAAGAACAGCAGCAACAACAAAGCAGCAGCAACCACGCGGAGGAACCACAGGAACCACAGGGGGGGAGGGGGGAGACAGGAACCAGAAGAACCACAAAAGGGAGGGGGAAAACCAAGAGGAACCACAGGGGGGGGGGGAACCACAGGAACCACAGGGGGGGGGAGGGGGATTACCATGGGGGGGGGGGGGGGGGGGGGGGGGGGGTGCGCGGATGCTGGCGCATATAAGGGATCTATAGTAGACTTCCATGATATAGGGGCCTTAATAATTACGTATACCATGTGGGGGGCTCCTTCATTACAATTATGGAATAATGGGCCCCAAAACCCTTTTCTAATTTCTAAGGCCGCGATAGTAGGGTCTTACCAGCGCTCATCAGTGGTTTTTGTGGGGTTGTAGGGGGGCTCAATAGGTTTCTTCACTAGATTCAGGAGCTTTTCAATGGCTTTTTGAGGATTTACAGGTCTTACTTGTCAAGCTTTATCGAAGAACCACAAGCTAGCAGTCTGCGATAGTGAAGGGATTTTATCACACCGAAAAGGTAAAGGTCACCTAAACCCCACCACTATAGACTAATTGGTACCCAAAACACCTGAACTCAAGCCTGAGTTGGCCTAGGGCCACATTCTCAACCCTGATCCCAGAGACTCTAACATGTATCCCATAATTCAGGAATATACATTAAGTCATTCATTAAGGATCCTACTACAATGTAAGGTATATTCCTTAATTGAGGGATCTTGGAGTCTCTGGGAGCCCGGAACACTCCACCCAGGCAAAGCACGAAGTCGTAGCTGCCTGGACCATTGCACATCACATTCCTCAAGAGCTCAGGATCGGATGTGCTGGGAACCGTATTAATTAGAATAGGGCTTTGAGTATATTCTACTATATATAGTTATCATAAGGAGCCCCTAAAATAGCATGCAATTATTTAGGCTCCTATATTATGTTGGGATCAAGGTTCGAAGTACTCTCGAAGCCCGAAGTCCCAAACGCGAACACCTCCAAGACACCTAAACTGTAGAGGGTTTAGGGTTTAGGGTTTGGGGTTTTAAGGTTTTAGGGCTTTAGGGTTTTAGTGTTTTTAGGGTTTTAGGGTTTTAGGGTTTTAGGGTTTTAGGTTTTAGGGTTTGGGATTTTAGTGTTTAGGGTTTAGGGAACCCCACCATGCCAAAGGAAGCACCACTGACTGTGGCGCTGACCGTTGTAGCTTGGCTTCGGGTGCAGGGTTCGGGTTGTGGGCGCAGGACTTAGGATGTACCAGCTTTAGGATGCGAAGGCTGTTGCAGGACTTCTTCTATACCACTGTGCCTGCCACACACTAAGTTCAGGTATATAGGCAGCTACTGCCGTTCACGCGTATTCCTAACAAAAGTCCAAAATCCTGGAGTACATGGCTAGAGGTTAGAAGCTGCCCCCACCCTGTAATAGTGTTATTAGGGCCCTATTATATTCCTATTATACCACTATTACAGGGTGGGGGCCCCTTCTAAGCTACAGGGCACGAAGCTTTGCCTTCTTGGTTCGTGGTTTCAGAGTGTCGCGGTGATACGGCCGACAATCATCCCAACGACCTTAACCCGAAAAACTCCGTGCGAAATTCAACCCCCACCCCCTAAACCCATAAACCCTTGAGCCTAACCCCAAAACCCAAATGCGTGGTTGTCAAAATTATGGTCCCGTTCAGGGCCGTTTTTCTAATACGGCACCTCAACCTAACATTTAGGGTACCCAAAAAAGAACTTTGAAGCAGAGCCTAGGCTCGGCACTCCTCCACACTTGTCCCCCAAGACGTCAATGTCCTCTTAAAGGATCATGGGACTTAGTAACTGGGATGATAATTGGGGTAGCTATACATATTACTATTTATAACCAAGTAAGGTACTTTGAGACTTATAGTAACTGGGATGATAATTGGGGTAGCTATACATATTACTATAATATTACTATAACCAAGTAAGGTACTTATAACCTTACTTACTAAGTCCCATGATTCTCCAAGCTGACGAGTCAAACACCAAGGGTCTCGGGGGTCTCGTGGCTCTTAAGGGCTTAAGGGTTCTGGGCTTGGGGTTTAGGGCCTGGGGTTATGGCTTTCGGGGCTTAGGGGCTTAGGGTTTGGGGTTTAGAGTTTAGGGGTTTCGGGCTTCAGGGCTTGAGAGTGTAGAGGAGACCCGGTCTAGACTTGAGGCGTGTAGGACCTGCCGGGTAGCGTCCTCCACGAAGGCATAGACCTCCGTCGGGTGCTCACACCTTTAGCGCAGGTTCGTCTCGGGCCCTGCCTCTAGTCTCTCCATTGTAGCTCCTTTTCGGGGTTAAACCGTTTTTTAGTAACTAGGATCCTGTAAGGTAACCCAAAACAGGAACTACAATGGAGACTATAGGGAAGTGGAAACCTGGCCATGCAATCTAGCAACCCCCAGGAATGCCCAACGAGATCCCCGACCAAACACTGCACCCTAACCACGGACGATGGACGGAGCAGTTCAGGGTAGACTTCACAAATGGGTGGTTGTCAAAATTATAGTCCCTTGTTGGGTACCCTAAATATTAGGTGCCGTATTATAATAATAGGATCCAAAAAGGGACCCGGCCCTAATATTGACAACCACCCAAATGTCTACAGCCTTGTAGGGGGTCTGGGCGGTTCGGGACCAGGGTTCACGGCAAGGGTCCTTGAGAAACTGCGGCACTGGGCTTCTTTATGTTTGGAGCTTACAGGGCTTATGTTTGGGGTATCCGGGTTTCACATCAGATCGAAAGTGGGCCCGGCTGCAACAAAAACAACAAACACAGTCACATACACACCGACCAGAACACACGCACACACACAGACAGCAAACACACACACACACACACGAAACTTAGCAAACTTCCAACAACCCTGAACCACAGAAAGGCCAAAGCTGCAACCTCAAAAGGCCAAACCCGGAACCCCAAGCCCTTACCGCAAATCCCCAAAGCGTCACCCTATACGAATCTTTGGTGGCAAGGCGCAGAAACATCTTCATAGGCGTATGCGGAGCGTCATAGGACTTCCGATAGCAAACCGCGATAGCTTCTGCCAGCTCCTGGAACTCGCATTTTGACAGAAGCTTAACCAGTATATCGGAGGGCACGAAGGGTGAAACCTTGACGCCCCGGGGTCTTCTGCGCTTCAGTTCCGTTTCTTGACATCTGTTTCTTAAGTTACGGGTTTGTGTTTTCGGGGTTCGGGCTTCAACGTCGGCCAATAGAACCCTGCAACAATGCTCAGTCTCACAGAGCTATTGTACAAAAAATGAGTATCTTAGATCTTGGCCTCTGCAATTGGCCTCTGAGCTCAAAAACAGTCGAGGTTTCATGCGAAGGATTTATGCTCCAAGCTCACCTGTTTAAGCTTCAGGGTCTGGTTTCGCAAAGGCTTAGGGATTCGGGATTATAGGGTTCGTTAGGAGTTTAGGGTGGACGGGTACAGGTTCAGAGGCTAGGGGAGGGGTTTGGAATTTGACGGGGATCCATAAACACTGTTCAAACAAGGGCTGTTTAAAGGGATCAGCAAGGATTTTGCGCTGGTTTGGGCAGAAACGTAACTTGAGGCTTTGACGTTTTTGTGCTTGCTCATTGTTTTACTGTTCAAGTTTGGAAGTCAATGTGCTAGCATTGGGATCCATGTTTATTATGGAGGCTTTCTGAAAAGCCCCTGAAACCCAAAGCTGGGCCACAACCCTTAGGCCTTAGGATCCTAAGTTTCTGGTTTTAGAGTCTCGCATAGCATCGAATACATATTTAGGGTTCAGGGTGGATCTGGTGGACAAGGTGCGCAGAGATTGGATGAATTTGGGGCGCAGGGTGTAAGATTCTCACACGCCCTCAAATCCCTGAACTCCAAACCTTAAACTCCCCAACCGCAAAAAATCACAAGGTTCGAATCTCCCTAAAAGACACTGACTAGATCCTTAATCCCAAAGAACCAAGAAGACACTAAACTCCCCAACCCAAAACCTTCCAAGAGTTGTAAGGTTCAGCTCTGACACACAACCCTAAATCGTAAACCCTAAACCCTAAGGGTCCTTCTGAGAGGTCTCATCATCCGGGAACTTAAACTTCCCGGAGTGGGAGAAGTAATCTCTGTATCTGGCAGTCAGAGGCTTCAGGCGTTCAGGGTTCGGCTTAGGGTTTGGGGTTTAGGGTTTAGGCTTTAGGGTGTAGGGTTTAGGGTTTTGGGTGTCGGGTTTCCTGTTTTGGGTAAGTAAGCCAATTAAGCCCCAGAAAGTTGGAAACCGGATTAAGGCCACAGTGTGCTGGGATTCCCTTTACATTAGAGTCTATTGGGTTTCCAACAACTGGGCTTCTACTGTAGGCGTTTTGGCCTCGTGTGATGCAGGCCTTGGGCTTCTTGCGATTGAGGCTTTGGGCTCCAACTCTTCTAGGATACCCAGTAACCTAAGAATGAAAAGGCCTCTCTTTTTAGTATTGGGTAACTTTATAAGGAACCTAGGACTACAAAAAGGGAATAAGGGTACTACTGGGCATCCTAGTCTTGGCTGCTGCGGATGCCTTCTTTGTGTTTTTGCAGGTTGGGTTCTGAGGGCTCAGGCTTTTAACTTCCCAAATTTTGGCTTCTGGCTCCAAGCTTTTGGCTCATTGGGAATCAGGCTGTTGGCCTCTTGCTCTAAACTCAAAACCTTAAAAACCTAAACTCTTAACCCCAAACCCTGATAGACCCATTATAGAACCCTCTAAGGGAACCGTAGTTAGGTCCCTACAAAAACAAACCTAAACCGCCTGTTCTCGCTTCTTGGACTGATAACTTCCTCTCCGAGCCACACCCGAGACCTGAAACCTTCCAATATAGGGACCTTAATAATTATTTAGAAGGGGCCCCCACCCTGTAATAGTGGCACAGTGGGAATATAATAGGGCCCTAGTATAATCCTTATAGTCACTATTACAGGGTAGGGGCCTTAGTAATTATAGAATAGGGTTTTGGGTTAACGAATACTACAGCTTTTGCTATTCATAAGGGAACCCCTCCCCCCCCCCCGAAATAGTATTGGTACTAACTTCGGCGGCTTCGCACTTAGTCTCGTCAGGCTAAGAGTTGGCTCCAATGGGTCCCACTTACAGTAGAAGCCAGTTGGAATATCATTATCGTAACCCCTTTAAGGTAAATTATAGGGGATCCTACCATTTATCCATATTCCAACTTCCTGGAGTCTTCTTTACACTGGCTTGGGAGTGTGCGATGCGCCATGCTGTTGGCCTCGGACTTGGGGGGTTTCTGAGGGGTGTCTGGGTGTCGGCCAGGATCCCGAATCCCGAAGAACCGTACATCTTAGTGATCGTTTGGCTCATTATTCTGTAGGCGATGTGGGTAGTTGTTAAAATTATGGTCCCTTTTTGGGTACCCTAGATATTAGGTGCCGTATTATACTAAAGACCATTAAAGACCCAAAAAGGGGACCATAATCTTGACAACCACCCATATGGCAATCAATTCATCGTTGCTGGGTTCTGAAGTGCTCTACCAGTGCTTGGGAAGCCTTCCTCTCGCGAAGATGACGCCAACTATGCAGGTGGTTGTCAAAATTAGGGTCCCTCTTTGGGTCCGTATTATTATAATACGGCACCGAATATTTCGGGTACCCAAAAGGGGACCACAATTTTGACAACCACCCATGTATGAGATGGTGAAGAAGCTTTCAAGCTTGGGACGTGCGGCTCATCTCGTGTTGAATCATGATTAGTGCTTTCAGTGCTGCCAGTACTACAATTACCAGGACGATTGCTGTGACGATTGTTCGTCATCACACTCTAAACACGAATCTTGCACATCATGAGCAAGCATCAATCGGGCATAAAGGAAGCGGAATAGGGCCTATGGGTTTGGTGATCTTTGCGTACATTTTGTCCAGAGATCCTTAAAGAAACACTTTACCACCTGCTTCGGGCCCTAGACATGCCATGATCTCCCCCACCCCGTTCGAAGCCATGGGCCTCAGGCCAGGCTTTCTTCCCTAGGCCTAAGAGTAACCTAGGAATAGGAGTGGGTGCCCTTTTGGGTTTTAAAGGGGCTTATAAGGGAACCTGAACCCTCAAAAAGGGAATAAGGGCCTACTCTGGGTCCTAGTTCCAGGAAGCAAGAATAATTGCAGATTCGTGCCGGGATTTTAGGCAAACCCTAAATTCCACGAAACAGCTGACGGACTCAAGAACTCCCTTCCAGCTTTCCCTCCCCCATATGCCAGGAAGACCCTGCCATCGAGGAGTGCGTGAACGGCTCACCTCGCAGGTGTATCCGGTTGATGTCGACGATCACAAGGAGACACAGGTAATGAGAGTGGTACGCACCACAAGTATCCTATAAGGATGACGAGAACCCGCAAAGGCAACAGTTATAGCAACCACATCAAACCCTGAACAAAACTCAAGCAGCAGACGAGAGCGCCCTGAGATTGACCGGCAAATAACCAAAACTGAAGGGCTGATTGTCAAAGTTATGGTCCCTTTTTGGGTCCCTGATATAGTACGGCACCTAATATTCAGGGTACCCAAACAGGGACCCTGATTTTGACAAACACCCGAATAGTATCGGGCATCTCAAGATCAAAAACTAGCGCAGGTGTCAGTATTTCAAGTGGGAGTTTCCGAAAATTCAGGGCACCTTATTTGGGGTGGTCCTTATAATGAGGATACTACTCTTTAGGGTACTATATTCGGGCCCCCTAGTTTCGGAAACCCCCAAGTGTGTTCAGGCTCATGCTGATTGCTGAAACCCTCGGGGAGCGGCAGGCTTTGCCGATGAGGCTTCGGCCGCACATGGTTCAACCACATCGCTTGATTCAAAGGGGAAAAGGAGGGACCCTTAATGGGGACCCCTACCCTATAATGGGCTGTATAATGGGTATATAATTATGGGTATATAATGGTATATACCTAGGGGTCCTGATTAGGGGTCCCTCCTTCTACCCTTTGATTGATGGGTCGGGAAAGCCTAAACTCCAAAAGAAGTGTTGCACTGAGCTGCTGTGTACCATATGGGAGTTTCCGAAAATAGGGCACCCTAATATAATACCCCTAAATAGTAGGATCCTTATTATAAGGACCCTCAAACAAGGTACCCCTAATTTTCGGAAACTCCCATATGGAAAAGGTCGTCGGGGAATTGTTGCATGTAAGCGAGATTGCAAACTACGGGTCCTCCTGGATGAATGTGGCTATTCGACGCTGTGCTCCTGCTCTTCTCTTTCAAGCGCTTCATGCCTTATCACTCGTCGTCCACAAAGTAGCTGAGCTGGCCCTTGAACATAAGGTAACATACGATTTCACAACCATCTCGCCTTTCGTCCATGACTTCAAAGCATGTCGCCGGAGGAACTGCTCCTCAGCTGCGAGGACTGAAGCAGGTCTCTGAACGGCATACAGCGACTGAGACTTGGTTTGAAGGATACTCCTTAGGGCGTTGGGATCTGTTTGGATGGAAATGGACAGTATCTCTCACGTGCCCAGCAACCGTAGGCTGAACCTCGCCCTACCTGGAAACCACCACTACCACCGCCACCACCACCGCCACTGCTACTATTGTCACGACTAGTCTTCTACTATATGCCCTTTACAGCCATAATCAAAACTATCTTTTAATTTTCTCCTGGGTGTAAATGAACAGAGATTTAAACATAATTCCCAAGGAGACTATAGTAAACAGTAAAAACCCTTCTCAGATCATGCACAAAACTAGAAGATAAGTCCTAAGGAGAGACTCGAGTCTACTGTTCTGAATGCAGCCAAATCCTCGGCTTTCCGCACTTCGGAGTCCGTGGGCTTCACCGAAGATGATGCTCGAGCAGAGCCCTGTGGCGGGACGCACCGGGGACTTAGTAAGAAGATCTTTTTTTTTGGGGGGGGGGGCTCCTTTTTGCAACTGCAGGACTCCATTAGTAAGAAGGTTTAGGGTTTGGAGTTTAGGAGTAGGTAAGGTTTCCTAAACGGTTCCTTAAAAGGGATCAATAAGGGTTCTATAAGCTGGGATTATGGCTTCTCGGAGGCCCAGGGGACTTAGCAAGTCGGTTATAAGTAGGGATGTAATTGCGGTAACTCCTTTTAGGGTACTTATAACTCTACTTATAACCTACTTACTATGTCCCTCTGGGCCTCTACGTGTGGCAGATCTGAAATCCAGAACGGGTGCCGGACTCTTAGAGGTCATAATGGTTCTGAGGTTCAGGGGTTTAGGGCTTCGGGTTTAAGTCGTAGAGCACTCCTGTTCTTGAGGCTGCGATGCAAGCACTTGAAGGTTTGGGGGGCCCCCTTCACATCCGCTCAAACCTGTGTGAAGCAGAGGTTCTCAAGAGCGATCTGCCCCCCCCCCCCCCCCAAAGATTCGATGACTGCGGTATACAAGCCCTACCACTCGCTTTAGCAATCGTGTAACCCGAAGCACGCCTTGAGGGTCCGCACGTTCACTGCCTCCCCATCCGAAAACAGGTACCTTACAGGTTTGATATCATGCATTTTGCTTCTATTGTTTTACGCTTTACATTATCACAGTTATATATGGATAGACATATATCTACTATATTGCAGGTTATACACTGTGTATTGTGCAAAGTCTATATATGTGCATATTTCATAAGCTATTGTCTTAGTTTCAAAATCTTGTTGCAATGCGTTATAGTCATATAGCTTTTGGATGTGATTTTACACTGTTTGCAGTAAACATTACACAGTACATGCTATGTGTTATACATTATGCGCCGTTTATATGCGAATATCACTCATGATATTTATGAAACCTTTTCTATTGTACTAGACATAAGAAGTTAGGTGTCATAAATCCAATACTTGATCTTGAAATATGCATGCTATGTAATGTATAGTAAACAGTCTAGACCAGGTTCAAGACCTGATTGGATTGCAGCCCAATGCTATTGGTATATGATACATCTGCTAGTATGATATGTTGGATGTTTATGTTGTTCTTATGCTGTCAGTACTGCTATTGGAATAATTACTGTCGTGGTTATAAGTACTATACTGATTTCTACTAGCATTGTTGATATCAATATTATGAATAGTATGAGTATTAACGGTAGTTCTGCCATTAAGGTGACATTACTGTTTTTATTCGCTGCACTCAAAACTATTGTAACATATTTATAAAAGTTGAAAACTGCTGCTCCTCTGCAAGTACAAGGTATTGGAGCTATAACAACATACAGTGCTCTTATATGCTTGCTACAACATAACGCATAGTATACTTGTGCACTATGATTATCAGTGTTTACGATTATGGCTATCACTGTAAATGCCAATTATACGTCTAACCAAACTCATCAGCTATGCATGATTATCTATAGTCATAGATATAACTCTATCTATTAGAAGCTGCGCCCACCCTGTAAGAGTGACTTTAAGGATGATATTAGGGCCTTATTATATTCCCATTATACCACCATTACAGATTGGGGACCCCTAATCTATCTACATGTATTCGGTGTGTATTGGGCAAATGGAGCCCTAGGCAAGTATTCGTCTCTCGGGCTCGTACGTTGGGAGTTCTGCAGCAGCTTGCGAAACCTAGAGACCTGACACCTTGAACCTGCCTTACCGTTGGTTAGGAGGGAATGGAGGAATTATAACTACTGTTACTACCATTCTTCCATTCCCTACTAACCAACAGTAAGCTGCAGGAATACAGCGAGCAGAGATAGCAGGAATAATCAGAAATATAGTAGTAACTTGTCATAATAACAGTAACAATACTGAACGGCTTCGGGCTTTGGTGTAGAGCGTTCGAATTAGGTATGGGATTTTCAACCTGGCGAATGGGCTCTGTCGAAGAGCGAGCTGCTCCTTCCGGGGTATGCCGGGAAGATAGCCGAACAACTGGTCAAGCGAACTGCTTGGTCTTAACCCTAAACCCTAAACCCTAAACCCTAAACCCTAAAACCTAAACCCTAAACCAGAAGCTGCGGCAACAAAACGAGAACTGAACCTGGGAACGCTAGACTCTAAACCCGAACTCCCATGAACCTGAACATCAACCAGGCACCGCTACAACAAACCCGCCAATCCCCAAGCAAACTAACTCGACATTTCGATCATAACCACCATGAACCCCTGAAGCACGGAGAGAAAGACAGAGAGAGAGAGAGAGAGACAGAGAGAGATAGAGAGAGAGAGACAGAGAGAGAGAGAGAGAGAAACAGAGAGAAAGTCACACAAACACGAACCATGCCCAGCTGCTGAACCAGATCGCCGACCTTGAGCGTTCAGAAAGGGTTCAGAATTCTAGGTTTGGGGAGTTAAGGTTTAGGGTTCCAGGTTTAAGTTCTTGGTGCTTCTCCTGTACTGACATTCTCAAAAAAATGCTGTGATTCGAAGGAATTGTTCGTGATGTGTTTGCGGCTTTTGGAGCCTGGGGGTTAAGTTTTTTCAGGTTCAGAGTTTGTCAGTTGGGGTTTCAGTGTATTTTGGGGCTTAGGGTTTAGGATTCGCTGCTCAACAAGCCCTGGCAGGAGTTTCAAGATCCTCTCAATGTCTTCAGAAGGGCTTCCATGAAAGGCTCTATGAGAGTTCAAGGTATAGCGTTTACGTTTGAGGCTGTATAGGGTTAAGGGGGTTGAGGGCTTAGGGAAAGGACAACTAGTCCCACCTTCAAATGTTCAGCCTTGAACTTCTGGACCCCGAGAGCTGTGATGTCAGGATGTACGGTTCAACCCCAACACGAAGTACCAAATGCCTTACAGTAGAAGCCAGAAAGTTGGAATATCATTATGGTAACCCCTTTAAGGTAAATTATAGGGGATCCTACCATTAATCCATATTCCAACTTTTTGGAGTTCCCTCTAGCAGACTGAACCCTCCACCGCCCATTCGAAAACGTCTTGCGGCCTTCGGCATGACATCATCGCCCCCAACGAACTCGAAAGACAGGACGATCTCCTCCCGTCACATAGCCCTAGACCCTCAAAGGGTCGTGCCTGCTCGGTTTCTGGAGGGGGGGGGGGGGTAGGCGGGGGAGAGATTTGCTTCAGAAGAGCCTATTACGTTTTATTGTCGTATGTTGTGTTAGCTTTATTACATTACATCAAAATAAGATACTAAATGCTCGAATACAGTACAACTTCTCAAGTATGCTACATTATGGTACAGTATAGGATGGTATAGTAAAAACAGCGTAGCACAGCACAGTACAATATCGTATAGTCTAGCATAAGTAGTACAGCTTAGTACAGCATAGCGACATATAGTATAGTATAGTACATCATATTGCATGTACCTACAACGTAGTAAATACAGTATATAACCCTCGGACACAAACTGTCAACATGGCGCTGGGCTTGGAATTTGGGCAGGGGTCTACTTTCGTGCTTGGACATTATGGCATGGGAGGCTTCCCCTCGTGAAAACTCACGTTCGACCTCCTGAAACCCTGTATCCTAAGCAATCTCGCTCCATCTCTCCCTTTCTCTCTGTCTCCTCTCTTTCTCTCGCGCTCTCTCTCACTCTCTCTCTCTCTCTCTCTCTTTCTCTCTCTCTCTCTCTCTCTCTCTCTCTCTCTCTCTCTCTCTCTCTCTCTCTCTCTCTCTCTCTCTCTCTCTCTCTCTCTCTCTCTTCCTCCCACGAAACCTAAAGACATAAGACCTAAACCCAAAACCCCGAACCTTCAGACCCTAGAACCCACCAACCCTACAACCTAGAAGCCAAAACCGTCAACACTAACACAGCAGACCCTGCTATAGGGGCCTAAATACTCACCAATGCTATTTTGGGGGCTCCTTATTATAAGTATAGTGTAATGGCCCCAAAACCCTATTCTATTTATGAGGGCCCCTATATTGTCCTCACAACCGTGCTCCTGGTTTTCCTTGTCGCGGAGCCTGCCGCGAGGTGGCTGGAAGTTGCGGTCCAGGGCGAGCCTCGGCTTTGCATGGGCGGCTTTTGGGATTTATAGGGTTTAGGGCTTCATTGTATAGGAACCCCCAAAACCCTATTCTAATTATTAAGGCCTCTAGAGTGCAGATGGTCTTTTGCAGGTTCTTTGGCTGATTCGAGCCCTTCGCGGACTTTGCCTGTGCCTTGTCGGCTCTCACTGACACCCGATTCCACTTCCTTGATCGTCTTTCTGATGTTGATGAGAGCGGCAACCGAGTTCATCACGGTTGTGTCCTTGTTGTCAAAGACCCGGACTGTTTGCAGATCTGGGTCTGGGCAATGGCAGTGAAACCATTGCCGACGTCATGAATCTGGTCGCTTGATCTTTCGGGATTAAGGCTTTAGTTCCAGAGAAGTTCAGGGCAAGCTTTTTGGCATGCATTCGGCAGGGCCTAAGATGAGAAGGCTTGGAGTTGTAGGGCTTAGGCTTCTCTCGTCAAGGGACCCAAAACACCAATGTTCAACCTCCAACTCTAGCCCTACAGGCTCTGGGAAGCTCAGACTGCATGGGCGCTCCGGGCTGGGTTTGGGTTTTAAGGGGTTTGGGGTTGGTTTAGAGCTTAGGGGTTTGGCGTTTAGGGTTTAGGGGTTTAGGGTTTAGAATTTAGGGGTTTATGGTTTAGGGTTTGGGGTTTAGGGCTTCAGGGCTTTAGGGTTGCATTTCGGTGGCACGACCCAAAGTGTCCGTGTTCAAAGCATCCGGAGAATCTAGAGGTTGAGGTTTTAGCGCCCCGTTCGTCAAGCCGGGTTTCAAATCGAAACGACAGCTTCAACCAGACTCTCCGCCCTGTGGGTCCCCTGAGCCCTGTATAACCCAGCTATGAAACCCTTTACTGTAAAATTTATATTCATTCAGGTACTACCTGAACCCGGAACACGGATTCCGGAACCTTTTCAACAGGGTGATACGACTCATTCCCGATGCCGCGCTTGCAGTGTGCCCCAAGCCCTAAGCCCTAGTTGAAGTCGGGCGACACGATGCCCTCCCTGGAGCGCCTTGCATTTGCAGGTGCCTGTCAAGACGACACGGTGGACTTCTTTATGTTAGTTTAGGCTCTTGGGACTCTTTTGCGAGTATCCGTGAGTGTCTGTTCGAGCTTCCTTTTCGGGAGTCTGTCACTTCGAACCCGACTTCGCAAAGTGCTGGCAAGATCGATTCCGTCCGCAGTCGATTCCGTCCGTAAGGGGTACTGGGTGCTCTAGGTTGCAAGACGACGCATTGTCAGATGAGTTCAAGGGCTTGTGGCCTCAGGACGTATTTTTCGAATCCGCATTGAGGGTGAGGGCCAAACCTCCGAAGCGTAAGCCCTAACCCCGCAGAGCCTCTGACTTGAGTTCGGGTGATGCTATAAAGCGTATGAACCTTGAGAACGGTGCAACATGGGAGTTTCCGAATATAGGGGACCCTACCCTAAATAGTAGGATCCTTGTTATCAGGACCCCCAAAATATGGTACCCCTAATTTCGGAAACTCCCACATGGGGCTTGGTGGTTCAGCGTCACAAGCCACTTTGATTTATGCATTTCCGGAATGGACTGTTGAGGCAACCCGAATGACTTAGACCAGGCACTCGAAACCGAACCCCTACGTGTACCGGATGGAGCTTCTTCTCCCGTGCCCTACTCTCCTGAATCCCTAAACCTCTTAAAAGCCCTGGCTCCTATACCCCAGGCCCCATAAGCCCTAAGCCCACTGCCTCGGTCCTCGATACGAGCGCAGAAAGATACCAAGACTGAAAAACCCTCAGCAAACTCGTAACAACCAAGAAGCCCCACAGCCCAAGCCCCCAAGCCAAGCACCTTAGGCGGTGGAGGTGGCACCGCATCGTCTTGTGGAAAATGTGGGACTGGTTCGGCCTGCGGGGCGCTTCAAGGTTTAGTGTGGGGTGCGTGGTCTTGTTCCACAGGCCACCCACGGGGTTTACTGTAGGGTTGAGCGGGTGGGTGTCCGTAAGAAGGAAAGCCGAAGAAGCCAGCACAACACGATGGGAGGTTGTAGATCAATTCTGCGTGCGGATTACATATTTGAAAGCGCCTTTGATTTGAGTTCTGGTGTGGCTCAACCATGGGACGGTGGCAAAAGCGGGGCTTTATGGTTCAGCGTCACAAGCCACTTCGATTTATGGATGTTCGGATTGACTGCTGAGACCTGCAACCCAAATAACTCAGACCAGGTATCCGAAACCGAACTCCTACAATCCTACAAGTTGGAGGTTCCTATCCTGCACGTGATGTTACACCTGAATTCCGAAACACCTATAGCCTATATCCCAGGCCCTGTAAGCCCCATGATACGACAGAGTTAAATTCAAGCGGCCACTCCGCAGAAAGATACCGACGCTTCAAAACGTGCGTTGCGGCTGCTCTCAAAAACCACCCGCCAACAAGTCCCAAGCCCCCGAGCCAAGCACCCCAGGAGGCGGAGGTGGTGCTGCATCGTCTTGTGGAAAGTGTGGGACGGGCTCGGCCTCCCGCAAGCTTCAGGGAGGCTTGTCGATGGTTCTTAGTAGGGAATGGTGGCACGGATTATGGGGATTATTATTGGGGATTATATAGGGGCTACTGTAGGGATCCATCCCCCCGTTCCCTAGATGAACCAGGGAGTTGTCGTTGGTTCAAGGTTCAGCGTCGGCTGTTGGGTCTTGGGTGCACAGGAGCCACCCCTGGGTTCAGGGCCGCCAGATCGAAACAACATGAAACCAGAAAAAAACAGCCGCACCGGATCTACAAACAAATTACCCCTAATTCTCGAAAACTCCCATTTGAAGTCATGCCCGTGGATCTTGAGGAGCCAAGCACAAAAAGGGACCAAAGAATAACCCGTGCCATCACAGCGCGGAGATGAGCACGTGTCACCCAGTCCCAGCTTGTTAGACCGATGGCGGCCACTCGGGCCGCGGGCCCGTGAAAAGCTGGTGATTAACAAAAGCTAAACATGCATCCGAAATCTAAGGTTTTGGGATTTCAGGGTTTAGGGTTCAGTTCTTTACGGGTTCATTGTTTAGGGGTTAGGCCGCGGTGCAACAGCCAGTTGGTGCGCTGTTGTACGGCGCCATGCTACGATATGCTATGCTATACTGTGCTACGCTACGCACCCCTAGGCTGTGCCATTCTACGATATGTTGTGATATGCTATTTTAGGAAGACAGTGATTCGCACGTGCTCCCATCTAACGTGAAAGCTATCTAATTATTGCAGACAGGGAACTCCACAGGTTGGAGCATGGAAACAGCCAACTTGCAAGCGAAGCCTGAATAACAGGGCCTCGAACCCCAACTCGACCTGCTCCTGCTCTCAATTTCATGGTTTCTATAGGGCCTTGGGTCTGGAATATGGATGGCCTTGCCGCGAAATAGATTTGCAAAAATAACGGTCGCAGACATCTGCACAGGGCTTTCAGTCAAACACGTCGGAGGTGGATTGATGACTTGGATTCGCAAAAAAGAAGACCACTGATACGAATAAAAGCAACTAGGACGAATAAGAGGAATAATGCTAGCACTATTCAGAGGAATACGAGTACTAGCAGTACTAATAAGAGGCATCCTAGTACCACAAGTGGAAAACCAATGCTAATGAGGGGAATCCTAGTACTCGTGACCGGAAGACGAGCGCATATAAAAGGAATCGGGCAAGCTAGAAACACTGAACTTGTGCTTTGCCGAAACAGTTAACTTGCAAGTCAAACGAAACACACTTACATAATCATTGTAGTTCTGCTCTGCCAGGCTATGCATGTGTTGCTGCGCCTTACTGTGCTGTGCTAGTTTCGGTGCTAAACTACGGTATGTGATGCTATGGCATGAATGATCATGTGCTGCCGTGCTACTTTGTTTTCTGGTATGCTACGTTATGTAGCACCTTCTTATGTCATGTTATGCTATGCTACGCTATCTTATGCTATGCTATGGTACGCTATGTCATGCTGTGTTGTGGTGTCCTGTGTTGTGCTGTGCTATTCCTAGGGTTGTTAAGCTATGCTAACCCATGTTCTAAATACTTTGCTATCTATGTATGCACGCAGGCCAAGGAGATAGGTAGTTAGCTAGCTTGCTGGCTTGCTAGGCATGGAGGGAGGGATGGAGGGAGAGAGATGAGTATGTATGATATGTATGTGTGTTTACATGTGCACATGTAAGCATAAAAGTATGCCTGTATGTATGTATGTATGTATGTATGTACGCATGTATGTGTGTATATATATATATACTTGCATACAAACATCCATAAGCACATAATCGGATCCTGACAGTTAAAGCGATGAGAACACAAGTCAAGCACGGACAAAAACCAAAAACCAGGACCCCGAAACCTTCAATGTGGCCTTGAAGCGGCCGATGCATGCCAAAGCCAACTGCGAGGCCTCACATGAATGGATAACGGAGAAATTGCTTCGTTTCAGGGATCTAGGGCTCTTGTGTTTCCAAAAGCGTCAGCATATGCTTGTTTACAGGCAGATGGCTGTACTAACGAACATTTGACAACGTAGAGAAAACTGGACGCTTTAACAACACTTGGTCGCAACGGCAGTCTGAAAAGGGGTCTAGGCCTGGGGCACAAGTTTTTGCACACGAGAAAACAGTAACAGTCTTCCCTCTGATGTTGGAATGTACTTTGCATGAAGAAAAATCGCCATGTCGAGAGAAGCCCACCTGATACTCCGAGCACTCTTCTAATGCACCGTCGGCGTACAGATCGAACCGATGTACAGACATGTATACGCGTTTACATGAGGATACCGATCGTTGACCTGGCCACAATATATCCCAAACGCCCAGAAGCCTGACATGGAAAGTATGTTACCAGAGGTCAAACGACCGACTTTGTGCCTGTGGAACCTACGACTGTGCAGATGTTGAAAACGGCTAGGTACTTCATTTCCTGTATTGAGGCGCGATTTCAAAGCGCATTTGTTCCACATGTCAAAGTCGAAACCGCCGCTTCGACCGCAAGGCTGAGCTGGTCGCAGCGCACACCCTTTTTGACAAGCAGGCCATGTCATGAGTCCTTTTGTTTTCATGCTGCATTTGTCGACCTCCGTAGGCAATTATCCACGAAGACATCCGTAAAGAGGCCAAACTTGTCATTCCGACCTGATTTGTGAGATATTAATTCATTGTTAATTCGTCTTGAGTCATTAGTTTCTTTGATGTCGGCTCGTTAATTTGGTGCTTAATTTCGTTGTGGTGTTGTCTCGCACTGATACTGTACGAAAGGCATAGAGGCCCGCATCGCTCGCCGCTAGCCTCGTTGCCCGTGGACCGACCGACCACACAAGTCCGGAAGAAGCCCGACATGTGCACCCGAAGCCTGAACCCGAAACCCCAGACCCAAATCCGAAATGCTAAAAACTGCGCTCTCCGACGTAGCCTTCACAGATGGTGAAGGCGAGGGCGAGGCCTCGTGTGGATGGAGAACTTGCTTTGCTTCAGGGAACTAGGGCTCTAAAGGCGTCCGGATATGGTCGTTTACAGGCAGATGGTCCGAGGTCCTGAGAAGCCTACCTCCGAGCACTCTTCTAATGCACCGTTGGCACATAGATCGAACGGGCGTAAAGACATGTATACGCAATTACATGAGGGTAATTACCAATCTTTAAGCTGGAGACACGATGCCCCAAAAGCCCAGAAGCGCGACATGTCAGCCGAAGCTTCAACCTGTGCTCTCCGACGTGGCCTTCACGGATGCCGAAGGCGAGTGCGAAGCCTCGCGTGCATGGAGAACTTACTTCGCTTCAAAGATCTGAAGTTCTTGTGCTTCGAAAGGATTAAGGGTATGCTTGTTTACTGCAGATGGCTTTAAGGGTGTGTTGGTCTGGGAGTCTATATGGGGTGTTAAGGCTTGAGGGTTCTCAACGCAGAGGAGACTACTAGACACTTAAACACTTGCAGCTTTGAAAGGGGGTATAAGGCTTGCGCAGATGGAGATTCCACCTCCAATACAACTTGGAATCCATGTCGCGTGTCGTGCTCGATACAAGGAGGCTGAGCTGTATGGTGTAGGGTCTCCTGCTTTAGGATGTTGGGATTTGTGGCTTTGGGGCTTCGTGGCTCTGACTAAACTTGCAACTCGGAGTTATGGTTAGACAGCGCCTTTGTAGCTCGAACAGAACAAGAAATCAATGCCAAACCCGTCCAAGGATGCCTTGGCAGCATCCCCGCAGAGCCGGAAAATCAAATCCAGGAGCTCCTCTGCACGTCAGATTAGGGTTTAGGGTTTAGGGTTTAGGGGTCAGATTTCTCTTGTGTTGTTTAAGGCTTTCATAGGGTTTTAGGGTTTGGAGTTTACGGTCGGGATTTAGGAGTTAGCCCTAATTGGCCCCCTAACCCCTAAAAGTCAATCTAAACCTCTTTGCTGAAGCCTTGCAGTTTCTTATTGGTCTACCGATGCCCGGTACCCAAAAGCTCCGATACCGCATGCCCACCCCCAACCCCCCCACCTCCCACAAATTCGCAACTCCTGGTTTGCAGTACGAACCTTGGGAACATGTTCAATGACAGAGTCCCGCAACCCCGTCACAAGGGGCACACCGCGAATTGAGACCCAAGGGTTCGAAAAGACCGGGCTACTATAGGGGCCTTACCACTTAGAATCGGGTTTGTTGGGGGCCCATTATTATACTACAATTATAACAAAGGAAGCCCCAAAGTAGTATAGGTACTTAGTTAAGCCCCCGCAGTAGGGGACCCTGCCGAAGCCCGCTCTGGAATCCTGGAAGTCATCTTTGCCTATGAAGCCGATGTGGCCTTTGTGCCTCAGCGATGCATCTGGAGAGGGAGCTCTGGGGGAGTTTAGCGTTTAGGGTGTTTGGGTCTTGCTTGAGGCAGTTCGGCCAATGCTGATCCTGCAGCAACTAGCCCAGACTTCGACTGTGTCAGACTTCCACGGCGTAGGACTTAGGGTGCAAGCTGTCTTGCTGCCGAGTAGCTCCTTCCTGTGTTTGACGACTTTGGGGTGCATCTGCAACGGCTGCAATGGCCGTTGAGAATTGTCCTCGCGAGGCAATGACAGGGTTTACTTTAGAGCACACTAGAAACAGAATGGGTGGCATGGCACAACTGAGCCTCCATGCGCAACGAACGGCTAGGTTTGCCTGTTGTTTGACTGGGCTTCGGTTGTATGTGGAATTGAACTGGTTTAAAAAGTGGCAACGGCGCGGCCCAGGTGGGGGGGCTTTGTCATTGCCGGGAACTGTATACAGCTTACCTCACAGCGCTTAGAGGGCTGCTAGATCATCTTCACTTAGCCTATCGCAAGCCTGACACGGACGACGCCTGTGGCAAACGAACCTTGGCCTACACAACTGATTGCATCGGGTAGGGCTTGTGCTGACTTTTGGTAGGTAGTTGTCAAAGGTGTAACTGGATTCGAGTTACATCTGCTTCGCGCCCTAACCCTCCACCAGAAACTTGTCTAAGTACCTCCATCGCCCACGCCCGACACGCCGCAGTTTAGGGTTATGTTGGAGGTATAACAGCCGTGCAGACTGAGCCCCAATAGGTTAGGACCGCCCGTTTCTTGAAACAAGGCCTGCAACTGCTTGCGCCCTTTCGGGGAAACTGTCCATCCTTATTGCAAGTACTTCGGCTGATGGTATAAACCCTGCATTACCTTAAGGACCCTAAACCATGGGAATTATGGCATATTCCTTATTATGGGTGATGCAGGATTCATATCATCAACCGTTCTACAGCCAGAAGCATCGGATCCGCCATCAGGGTTTTACTTGGACAAGAAGTTACCGGGCCAGGGGCTGCAGTGAGTCTGAGTATTTCAAGGTCGGCTTCGGATTTCCTAAATAAAAGGCCCCAAAAAGGCACATAAGCAAAAATCAAGCGATATCCCACATAAACCCCCTCATAGTGAAGCCCGATAAGGTAGAGATATCCCTATACAATGCTTGTGCTTATGTGCTTCTCGGGTCCCAAATATATATATATATATATATATAGATAGATAGATATAGATATAGATATATATATATATATAGAGATATATATATATAGTCTTGAAAACTAAGCCCTTGACGGAGATCAACTCGAAACCCTTCACCTTACACACGAGACCTAAAAGGACCTAAACGTACACCTTGAACACTAAAACCGAATCCCTCAAACCCTAAAAACCCCAAACCCTGAAACTCGTAAAAACCTAAAACCCTAAAAACCCTAAACCCTGAAACCCTTAAAAACCGAAAACCCTGAAACCCTAAGCCCCCCAAACCCCTGAAACCCTATAACCTTGAAACCCAAAGCCCCCAAACCCCCTAAAACCCCAAACCCCTAAATCCCTAAATCCCGGATGCCCCTGAGGCCCTCTTGCCTCCGCTCCCCACATGAGCAGCAGCGTCTGGTGGCTCTGATCGATATGTCCGCAAAGCTCCTCCACAAACTCTGGCACCTGCCCCCCGTTTCGGGTTTAGGGCTTGGGTTTTGGGCCTTAGGGTTTAGGGCTTAGGGTTTATAAGCTTAGGGCTTAGGGCTTAGGGTTTTAGGGCAGAGGGTTTCGGGTTTAGGGTTCGGTAGGGCTTAGTTGTTTCTTTAAGGACCCTTTTCCAGCTTAGGGTATAGGGCTTACGTAGGGTTTAGGGTTTTTAGGGCGGAGGTTTTCGGCTGTTCGTTTCGGGTTTGGGGTTCTTAGAAGGGCATAGGGCTTCGGGGCTGTTGTGGGGTTGGTTTAGGATTTAGGGTTTAGGGTTTAGGGTGACGGCTTAGAGCTTCGGGTTTGGGGCATAGGGTTTGGGGCCCAAAGCCGTACAGCAAATCACAGAAAGTTGGAACATGGGTTTAGGAGGATTGGTGCTACGATCCCCTTTACCTTGCATAAGGGCATGAGGATACTCATGTTCCAACATTCTGGCTTCTGCTAGAAACCCCAGTCTCCGAGACATCTTGCTGTTTGTGTGCATGTTGCTCGTACGCTCCCACATACCCACATATGAGACCCCAAAGCAAGACGACCTGTTTACAGCCCTACGATAGCACATAGTGTTGTCCAGTGCCGAGCTGTGGGAACCGAACTTCGTATGGGAACCAGGAATACTGGCACGTTGATGAACTGCCTTCCATGGCATCTGGTGAACTGGCCGTCTCGTGCAAAGTATCGGCTGGGGTTTTGTCTCCACACCGCCGGTTGAAATACACCTGGACATTGGACGGCGGGGCGGGGCCCCCGTTTTGAAGCGCCTGTTGAGAAACCTGTCCTGCGGTGTAAATGTGGCGCGGATAAGTTAACACCTGACCCTTTAGTATAAAGAAACCCAGCTGTCTGTCTGTTGCTAAATTCTTCAGGCCGCTGTAGTAGAGAACTGCGCTGCCCAGGACACCAAAGAGGTAGCCCCCGTACGTAAAAATGCCAGTATGCACTCCAACAACCCTCTTCATATTGCGCCAACTAGGAGGCTGGATATTGAGAAGGTTGACGATGTACGGTAGATAAGTTCGACGGGTCCGTTGAGAGTCTGTATTAGGACAAGGACTTAAGTAGGTTCAGCACCGGACCTCATCATTCCGGAAATGCGCGTCCATAAATCCATATACTATGGGGCCATAACGATTAGAATAGAATTCTGGGGTAGACTGTGGTAAAGTACTGAAAACTGAACCCAATCTGCACGGCCCCGAAAAAGCTCAACAACCCTCCAAGCCCGAAACTGAACAATTGAAGACGAATGCCTCGAAACATTGAAGACCAATCTACTTCCAAAGACGCGGACATCTGGACCGAAGCAAAGAAACACCCCAATGCGCAACCCTCAACCCTCAAGCAGCAAGCATGTGCCGCAACCCTGAAACCCTGAACTTCCAAATACCCCAGCTCTCAACCCTCAAGACTGGACCTGACGCCACTCCTCGTTCAACAGCGGCGCAGGGGAGACGGCTGCGACGATGTGCAGGGCCGGGCAGACCCTGGCAACAGCGGATGAGGCACTGCCGTTGCCGAAAACATACAGTTACCTGCTATCCCAACGAAAGCACGAGCAACTGCACCATGAGCCTTGACGGCGGTCTGTAGACGTCGCTCATATCAGAATATCAGTCTCAGCTGCGTTCGAAGATGGGGCGTATCGTTTGCGGTGTAGAATAAATCGAATAAAACGACCCAGATGCTTGTCACCAGCCCCCCCAAAGAAGTGCCCCCACCAAAAAGGCCAGAAAAAACAGCCGAACCTGGAAAAAGAACTCCTCGCCGCAACGACCAACTTTATCCCCTAACTGCCCTGCGCTCTCAACCCCTTATAGGCCCTGTGAACCCTGCATCGGCCTGAACAAGCGCAGGGCGAGCATGCCACCAGCCGAGAAGCCCATCCTCGGGCAGACTAGGGGGGTTAGGGTTTGGGCCCACGCAGGTTTATGGGTTTATGGGTTTAGGGTTTAGGGTTTAGGGTTGAGTCAGGCTTTAGGGCTTGGGGCTTCAGCTTTGGGCAGTAGGGTCTGGGGTCTAGCCCGCCAACTCCCTGATCCCTTGAAACTCTCCTACATGCGAATATCATGAACCATAAAGTGGTAGCAAACCCGGGCGACTCCGGTTGTTGGATCCTCTGTCAGTCCTGCTCCCAAACCCTCGCAACCTTGAGTCGGAGTACTGAGCACTTGCGTGTTTTATGGGTTTTTGGGGGCTCCTTTTTCCAACTGATTCATTGGGTACGGCCCCCACTCACAAATAGTTGAATAATACTCATAATATAGATCTATTAGGACCTTAATAATAGCCCTATTAATGGACTCTTACTGTATGGGGGCAGTACCTAACTGATTCACTTGGTCTCGGCCAGAAGGTCGCCGGGTTTAGGGTTTGCACTTTGTCAAGGCCATCGACTCACTCTCAACTCGCGCAGATACTTGCCTGGGGTACTTCTAGGGGCTGCAACTACCAACATTGTAGTAAGGTTCATGGTTATACCCTAAGCCCTTAAGCGCGTAAGCCCTAACCCTTCAAACATTGTTCAGTTGGGGGTTGGGGCTCGGCTAAACGTCTAGGAGTTCCGGACTTCAGGTAGAACGAGGCGGAAAGATGGTCCACAAAAGTTGTTGTGTGTTTCACCCCGTGAAAAGACGTAACACCCCATGTGAATGTGCAAACAAGTTGTTTTCAGAAGACCCCACCCGACTGCCCAGGCGCCGCGCCTGTAACACTTACAGCAGGGTTTCGGGGCTTACGGAAATCGTTGGTATCTTCCGCAACTAGGAATGATCATAAGCCTGTACGAATCTTTCGTAAGCCCTGCTGAGGACCTTATAAAGAAGAACGATTCTCGGCTCTTCTTGCTTGCGGCTTAGAACTTTAGCAACGAGGTTTGAGGATTGAGGATAAACTGCAAGAGGCGGATCCTTGGACTTCGGGTTTGGGCTTCCAGGTGTTGAGCTTCGGGTTCTGAGACAAGCAGACCCTGATCCTGCTTCTAAAGCCTAAAGCGGGCTTGAGGCTTCCTTATTGCATAACCCTAAACCTCAACCCCACACCAAAGCCTGAACCCTAAACTCAAAGGCCTGGCAGTGCGCCCTAAACCCTAAACGGAAACCCTAAATCCTGAACAGGAAACCATGCGATGCAAGGCTCGCTGCGACATGTCGCGCCGTGCCGGTCGACAGATACTCCGCTATCATCTCCTGAGACTGTACTGATTTGGGGGTATCGGGGTTGGGGGCAAAGGGTACAGGGTTGACTCTCAGTACTTTATCCCACCATAACCTAGCCGTATGTAAGGTCCTCTAGAATCATAAAACAAACCTGAAAGCAGCAACAATGACCCACGATTAGGCTGCCTTTGATTCAGGTACCCTCGCAGCCAACAAAAGCTACACAGCAAGCTCCTCCTCTTAACGACCACGCAACCGCAGCAGGAGGATAACAAAAAAACAGTCACAAAAACCAAAAAAATAAACAAGCCCTAGAACATACAAAACCATGAACTACCAAAAAGAAGACCCTACAGCCCTTCGCCAAAGTCGCCAAATCGTCGCTGTCCAGGTGCGGCTTGCCGGGGATGAGGAACCTCCGAGGTCCCACCGACATCGAGGCGTTGTAGTTTAGGGTGGGCCTTTATAGGGTTTAGGGTTTAGGGGTTTAGGGTTTAGCGGTTTAGGGTTTAGGGTTTAGGGGTTTAGGGTTTAGGCCTATATAGGTGCTTGAAACAAAGATGGTTCAAAAGTCGTGAGGCTCTGCAAACTCGGGTCCATGCCAAAACCCGACGACCTGCCAAAAGAATGGGGATAACCGCAGCTGCCAATAAGAAGAAACCAGAAATGGCGTCACTCGCTGCTGCCTGGCGCAACCGCGATCACCACAATCCTAAATACTGAACACCAACTTCTCAAACGCTCCGAACCCTGCTCCCAGAACTCTTATGGAACCCTTATCGTCAACCAACCATAAAGCTTCTTTTGGAAGACAGGGGCGTTAGTAGTTGCGATATGGCTTCGGGGTACATTAGAATATGAGTACTGTATGAAACCACAAGGAATATAGCTATAGTGACTATTCAAGCTTCATGGGTATCGAATCGAGGAATCTAGGTTTTGAGGTTCAAGGCTTCTTTACGTGCAATGGACACCCTTTCACCCGTTCATGCAGTGCACAGGCTGGTCCAACTTGGACATGCACTGACTAGGATACCCAGTAACCTAAGAGTAAAAAGGCCTCTCGTTTTGGTATTGGGTAACTTTATAAGGAACCTAGGACTACAAAAAGGGAATAAGGATACTACTGGGCATCCTAGCTGAAGCAGGAGACTGAATGAAAACCGCCCCCAAAGGATCGGACCCTGAGTTGAGGGCGAGGAGATATCGTAAAAACCCAAACTTTAAAACCCCTAAACCCTAAACCCTAAATCCCTAAATCCCTAAACCCTAAACCCTAAACCCTAAATCCCTAAATCCCTAAACCCTAAATCCCTAAATCCCTAAACTCTAAAACCCCTCAACCCCAAGAGCCCTATACCCTAGACCCTAAATGTCCCGGCCTGAGCGATGCCCCTCGATCCACCAAGGTCATAAGGAGCCCGTTCCTCCGTTTAGGGGGTTCAAACTACAGTCAGAAGGGGCTCAGGGCTTAGAGTTTCGGGTTTAGGGTGTAGGGATTCAGGGATTTAGGGTTTAGGGGTTTAGGAGGTTCGGGGTTTAGGGTTTAGGATTTAGGGCTTCGGGGTTTAGGGCTTCGGGGTTTAGGGTTTCGGGGTTTAGGGGATTAGGGATTTAAGGGTTTAGGGCTTTGGGGCATGTTCAGAGAAACCCTAAAAGGGGTGCTACGAATTCTTCATGCTGCCATATTGAGTCTCGGACCTTCCGCATTTAGGGCGTAGGGTCTAAGGCTTTGGGTGTTGGGGTTACGGGTCGAGGGTTTCAACGACAATCAGAGCAAGCTCTGCGGTTTGGGGCAAACGGCAACAATCAAATAGCAACAGCTAGTGACGGAACTCGTTTGTACTCCGTATATTTATGCTATAATTATCGGCGTCATTACCTCCGAAACGCTGCTATTGAGGCCCTCACATTTGGCCTTCAACAAATTTTGAAGCCAACCTCCCGAAAGGCTCCAATAAGTTCCCCCTCGCCTCCCATGGTTCAGGGTTGAGGGGTTTAGGGTTTAAGGTTTAGGGGTTTAGGGGGTTAGGGTTAACAAGGCAAGAACTCGAGGCGTTCGGAGAAAGGGGGTGAAGGTCTACCCGGCAGTGTCAAAAGACCGGAGGAGACTCGAGTCTGACAGAAGTTCGACATCGGAACCCCGAGGCCTAAAAAAAAAATCTAGCTGAACCCAGCCGACGCTGGAAGCCCACTGCGAGGATGTGGATGGAGGGCTGAAGATTGTTTGGAGGTTCATGGGTAGTTATAAGAACCCATATTAGGGGCCTTATAACCCCACTTATAACTACCCCTGAACCTCCAAGTGGGGGTGGAGGTGAAGCTTTCAGGGTTTCCGATGGCGAGGTGCCGGGGGCGGGTTCAGCGCGAAGTCCCGTAACAGGTCAAGCTTTGAGCTTCTGGATGATGCCTTAATAATTAGAAGAGGGTTCCTTTGAGGGTTCCTTCAAAGGGGTCTATAAGGGAGCTATAAGAGGGTTCTATGAGGGGCCTCAAAATAATTAGAACGGGATTCTTGAGGGTTCCTTTGAAGGGTTTTTCAGGAAGCTATAAGAGGGTTCTATGAGGGGCCTTATAACAATTAGAAAAGGGTTTTGTGGGGCCCATTCTACTTTTGTGCTGTAATTATAATAGGGAATTCAGAGTATTGGTAATTATTTCGGCCCCTTTGGCAATTCATGGGTTCAGGGAATCGGCTTCGCCTTATGGAGTGCCAAGTGGCTGCTCCCACTCTATCCAATCCAACAGCTGCTCGTTTCGCACATTCGCTGCCTGCCACCACTGCGCCTGAGCTCACTGCGGTGTTTAGCCCTAAAGTCTCTATACCATAAACCCTAAACCCCGAACCCTAAACCAGGAAGACATCTAGCCCATGCACCGTTCCCCCCACGCCCCCAGTGTGCGACGGCTGTTGATCATCTAAAACCTTCATGAAAGACCCCCTAAACCCGAAACCCTAAGACCCTAAACCCCTTCACCGTCAACATGCGGCCGGTTTTGTACTTCGCGATCTGTCAGTGCAATTTTCGCTCTCCGCGCCAAGTACGCAATCGCCTGCCGTGCCTCATCTCGAAGCTCCGGGAACTCCCTCTCCTGGTTCATATGAAGCACGGTTACAGCTCGAACACCCTGCACCCGACCACTCAGGCTGGAGCCGCATCCGCCAGCCGCTTGACCAACGCCATGGAGCGCAACTACGCTACGACTGACTTGTGTCCCTCGCCCCGAACAGTAAAAGTGGGTTGCAACGGAAACAGAGGCTTGCCAGCTTCAATGGAGAGCAGCAAGCTCAAAAGCAGCGCTATGTCCGCAAACTTAGAAATGTACTGCTGCACTACAGCATCAAAACCACAAGGAACCGATGGCACCATGAGAAGGCA